AACTGATCAGAAGGAGATTGTGGGGTCTTTTTGTTGGCACTGGGTGCAGGACTCTGTTGCTTTGCCCATAATCAGATTTGGGTCACAATCCTGGTGGCAGTCACAGGATAAGGAGGAGCACTAACACACCACAACTTGCATCTACAGTGGAGCAGGGACCCTCATCACAGTTCCAAGGCAGAAAAAAAGTGCTTGTGGTTGCTTACAGACCAGGAGAATAGTAAACACCTCTCCTTAGATGATACCACCTTGGAAGAACTGAAAACCTATAGGTCCCTAGAAGTATGTCTGAAAACAGCTGCACAAAGACCCTGAAGTTTGGGACACTGCACCATCCTCACTGGAAGCAGAGCCCCACTTTAACAAAGAGTTAAAAGTCAAGAAATAGACGGGAAAAATGAGCAAACAGAAAAAAATTCTGACCATAGAAAATGACTGTGATGACAAAGGAGACCAAAACACAATCAGAAGAAGACAACAAAGTCATAGTTCCAAATGAGCAAACAGAAAAAAATTCTGACCATAGAAAATTACTGTGATGACAAGGAAGACCAAAACACATTCAGAAGAAGACAACGAAGTCATAGTTTCTACATCCAAAGCCTCCAAAAAAAAAAAAAAAGAATTGATCTTAGGCCATGGAAAGGCTCAAAAAAGATTTTGAAAATCAAGTAAGAGAAGTAGAGAAAAGTTGGGAAGAGAAATGAGAGTGATGCAAGAAAATCATGAAAAAAGAGTCAACAACTTGGTCAAGGGGACTCAAAAAAATACTGAAGAAAACAACACCTTAAAAAACAGACTAGGCCAAAGGGTAAAAGAGGCACCAAAAAACCAATGAGGAGAAGAATGCATTGAACAGCAGAATTGGCCAAATGGAAAAGGAGGTCCAAAAGCTGACTGAAGAAAACAATTCCTTAAAAATTAGAATTGAGCAAATGGAAGCTAATGACTTTATGAGAAATCAAGAAATTGAAAAACAAAACCAAAAGAATGAAAAAAAAAATAGAAGACAATGTGAAATAACTCATTGGAAAAATAACTGACCTGAAAATAGATCCAGGAGAGATAATTTAAAAATTATTGGACTATCTGACAGCCATGATCAAAAAAAGAGCCTAGACATCATCTTTCAAGAAATTATCAAGGAAAATTGCCTTGATATTCTAGAACCAGAGGGGAAGATAGAAATTGAAAGAATCCACCAATCACCTCCTGAAAGAGATCCCAAAATGAAAACTCCCAGAATATTATAGCCAAATTCCAGAGCTTCCAGGTCAAGGAGAAAATACTGCAAGCAGCCAGAAAGAAACAATTCAAGTATGGTGGAGCCACAGTCAGGATAACACAAGATTTAACAGCTTCTATGTTATAGGATCAGAGAGCTTGGAAAATAATATTCTGGAGAGCAAAGGAACTAGGATTACAACCAAGAATCACCCACTCAGCAAAGCTGAGTAAAATCCTTCAGGGGAAAAAAATGGATATTTAATGAAATAGAGGATTTAAGCATTCTTGATGAAAAGACCAGAGCTAAGTAGAAAATTTGACTTTCAAATATAAGCCTTAAGAGGAACATAAAACGGTAAATAGTAAAGAGAAATCATAAGGGACTTAATAAGGTTAAACTGTTTACATTCCTACATAGGAAGATAATACACATAACTCATAAGAACTTTCTCATTACTAGGGTAGTTGGAGAGAATATGTACAGAAAGAGGGTACAGGATGAGTTGAATATGAAGGAATGCTATTGAAAAAAGAAAATTAAAGGGTGAGAGAGGAATGTAGTGGGAGAAGGAGAAAGGAAGAGGTAGAATAGGGTAAATTATCTCACATAAAGGAGGCAAGAAAAAGCTTTTACAGTGGAGGGGAAGATGGGGGAGGTGAGAGGGAGTGAGTGAACTTCACTCTCATTGGAATTAGCTCAAAGAGGGAATAACATACCCACTCAATTGGGTATAGAAATCTATCTTACCCCACAGGAAGTAAGAGGAGAAGGGGGTAAGAGAAAGGAGGGTGTGATAGAAGGGAGGGCAGATTGAGGAAGGTGGTAGTCAGAAGCAAAACACTTTTCAGGAGGGACAGGGTGAAAGGAGAAAGAGAGAGAAAAATGGGGGGGAGACATAGGGTGGATGGAAATACAGTTAGCAATTTTAACTATGTAAAAATTTTGAAGCAAGTTTCTCAAATAAAGAAAACTGAGTCAAATTTATAAAAAGAAGAGCCATTCCCCAATTGATAAATGATCAAAAGATATTACATTTTCAGATGAAGTAATCAAAGCTATCTATACCATATGAAAAAACTGCTCTAAATCACTATTGATTGGAGAAATGCAAATTAAACAATTCTGAGGTACTACCTCATACCTATTAAACTAGCTAATGGGACAGAAAAGGAAAATGACAAATGTTAGAGGGGACGTGGGAAGTTATGAACTGATTCAACCATTCTGTGGAACTGTGCCCAAAGGGCTATAAAACCATGCATATCCTTTGACTTAGCAATGTCACTATTAGGTCTGCATCCAAAATGAAGTAAAAAAAGAAAAGGAAAAGGACCTATATGTACAAAAATATTTATAGTAGCTCTTTTCTGGTGGCAAAGAATTGGAAATTGAGGAGATGCCCATCAATTGGGGAATGGCTGAACAAATTGTGGTATGTGATTGGGATGAAATATTATTGTGTTATTAGAAATGATGAGCAGGATGCTCTCAGAAAAACCTGGACTTACCAAAGCTGATGCAAAGCGACATATACTGTTTACAAATTAACAATAATACTGTAAGACTATCTGCTGTGAATTGACTTAGCTATTCTCAGCAATACAATGATCCAAGACAACTCTGAAAGACTTAAGAAAAATGCTATCCATCTCCAGAAAAAGAACTGATGGTGTCTGGATACAAATTAAAGCATACTTCTTCAACTTTATTTTTGGTTTGATTTCTTTTACAACATGATTATTATGGAAGTGTTTTGCATGATTACACACGTATAACCTAAGAATTGCTTGCCTTCTCAATGAGGGGCTGGTGAGGGAGGAAAGGTGAGAATTTGGAACTCAAAAGTTTTAAAAATGAATGTTAAAAATTGTTTTCACATGTAATTGGGGAAAAATAAAACACTAAAGCAAAAAAAAGGGTATGAGAGACTTTTCAAATGTGTGGTTGAAATGCACAACATAGTTTCTATTGTGGGTTCTATTTTTAGATTTTATTTTTAGAAGTTATTTTAGAAGTTATTTTTACATTATTAAACTGGAAATAATAAAAAAAAGACTGCTTTCCAAATCTTTTCCTCTTAAAAATTTTTTGTTTTTCTTCTTCCCAACATCTTAAAAAGTCTTTTTATTCTTAACATTTTAAATAAACTTCTTCTGAATATTTTGTTTTTGTTCTTTTTTTTAATGTGTCCATCTTTTGTCATGTTTTATCTTTTGCATGTGTCCTTTTGAAATCTGAACTCATCAGAGTAACCTATGCAGTCATAGTGTTTTCATAGATAACTAAAGATGAAAGAAACCTTAGTTTAGTCCAACCTTCTCATTTTATAGATGAAATGGCAGAATCAGTTCTTTAGACTGCAAGTTTTTTGCTCTTTCCACTACCAAAAACTGTCTCTTTAGATGTCTCCCTTATTTTTCATCAGGAACATTCAAGACATTTCCAAAATTTAAGTTTTTGGAGATCATTCTATCCCTCTTCAGCCACCTTCCTTTTAGTGGTTTAGTTCATGGAATTGTCTGCCTGTGACTTCTCTGAACTTTTTGAAATCTGATTTTCTAAAGATAAAGGTATTTGTTTAACCATGCTAAGTCTTCCTGTCCTTAATTATCACAAACCACAAAACAAAACAGTCACTTTGATGAAAGGCTTCCAACATTTCCAGCCTAGTTACTGATCATCTTGCCCTTATAGTACTGAATTAGGTTATTATTTACTTCCCTTCTACCTTTTGAAATAGAAAATCATCAGCAAGATGAAATTTTATCAGACGCTTTGCTTTTAACTTCTAACAGAAATACAGATAATTCTTGTCCTACTTCCATGCCTACTATCTGCCACTTTTGTGGCCTTTTTCAGGTCACATCATACATACCTTTCATCTGTCCAGTACATGAAAGTATTAAAGGTTGGCATGTCCTGGATGGATAGTTTTGTTGAATATCAAGACCAAAAAGTCACTGTCAGTTGCACTGGACAAGGAAGAAGGGGAAAGAGGTCTAAGAGATCTAAAGGAGATATGACACTGGATGACAGATGGAGCTCCGTAGAATTTCCATAAGATACTCTTCAATTATCAGTGATCACTTGCCATTTCTTAGCAAAAAAGTAGAAAAATCAACTTCGTCTCCTGAAGGGCAGTTCAAAATGGAAAGCATTACAAGTATTTCTTAACCATTGTTAACAATGAGAAGAAATGTAGATATTACTCTCCTGTAACTGTGACTCTGGTTGAATGAGGCTTTATTAGCTATGACAATCTCCCCAAGCCATTCTAGGGAGCATCTTCCCAGATCTGGTCCTCTCACTCCACCTTCCTCTAAACAGAGTGCCCTCTTTGGAGAAAAATAACTTTTCTAGTTCATTATTGTTTCTAGAACTCTTTAGCTCTGGACTTTCTGAAAACATTTAAATGACCAAAACCAGTATGCCTAGAATTTGGGAGGAAACAGTGGACCTTTCTCATCTATGAAATTGTATCACAATACCTATAACTCCCTACTTTCCAGGGGTTGTGAGAAAAATACTTTGTAAATTCTAAAGTGCTACATAAATGTGAGGTATTATAATTACATTAAAAACCCATCAATTTTACCCTTCATAGTCAAAGAACTAAGTACTTATATGTCATTACAAGAACACCTTGAGGCATTAATGTTTCTTCTAATTCAGGTCCTACACAGCTACATTTTATTTATAGGAGAAAAATATTTATAGGCAGAACTAACAAATCAATGCTATTAACCGAAAAACAGTTCACAAAACCAGTTGCTTAACAGCTACTTATTTTATTTGACTTTACACTGAAAAGTCAACTTACAATAAGCCAATCACAAGAAAAAAATGTCCAATTGTGCAGAATGAGCAGTGATTCCATAGTGCACATTAAGACTTTAAGGAACCCCTTGAAATAACAAATACTGACACACATCTATTACCTTTAAGGAAGTCGGCATCCCTCTCAAAGCATGATTTGAAATTAGGTAACTCTATTGTTGTTTGGCTCAGGGTAGTCCATAGTATTTTACAGTCACTATCAAAACAAGGCATAATTCTACAATTAACAAGAAAAAGTTCTCAAATTGAGGTATTCCTTTAAGAATTTTTTTTTTTACTGAATATTATTATATCATATGAGATACAGTTAGACTTGGACTATTTAAAAACTTGAGAAAACATATAAAATGTTCAAAGTTTCCAATGGATGTGCTTTTTCCATACAACTTACTATAAACCATAAAACCAAGGGTTTTTTTTTAAGCCCCAAAAACAATTAAATATCATTGGAGTGGAAGAATGGAGGTGAAGGATTCACATATGGTCAAAACTCTCACCATCAATATGCTATAGTCATTTTTTTCTTTTTAGGTAATTACGAAATATGATTTGACTTAGTGCAAGGTCTGCGCTTACGTACCTGGAACATGTATGCTATTGGGAGATGCATCTGTTCTAAGGAATATCAACTATATCACGATAAAAGACATTCAGAAAAACAAAGAGCTTCAGATTAATAGTACTCTGCATATGCCTATCATACATAAGACTTGATGAGTCCACTGAATTATTTTGAAGTTTTTTTTTTAAAGTATTATGTTGCTATAAATCACATTCCTGGCCTAGGGTACCTTGAGGACACAGGGCTTTAGTGTAAATCTCTCCTGCCCCCTTTAGTGAATTAGCATATTAGAAAAATGCTTTAGACCCAGGAAATATTAATCAGAGGCAGGTGTCATGCACAAAACTCCTGGACTTTCTCTATTAACACAAAGATCATTCTGAATGGTGTCTTGTCTAAGTGAGTGGTTTCTTTTGAGGGGGATATGGAGAGAAATAAAGCATAGAATGGACATGTCTGAGTTGTAAAGGGATGAGGGGAAGTCAATGAAAAAGCATTTATTAAGTGCCTAATGCATGACAGGCACTTGGGGTACAAAGAAAAAAAATTGAACAGTTCCTGCCTCCAACAAGCTTATGTATTTGATGTCAAGAAAACTACAAAGAGTTCAGGTATGGCTTAATTCAACTCTTCTTTCTCCATTGATGCCTGCGGTACACATAGTAAACCATTAGGGATTTTCATTAGAAAGCATTATTGTTACATAAGAATGGCCAGAGAATATTTGTCAGAAAGCATCATTATTTACAAAATATGGAACTCTTTTAAATAATATTTACAGGGTACTGTTTAGCACAATATAGTTTTGCTATATAGAACCCTACTTTGTAATGGTACTTAGTGTAAGGACCATCTGTGTTGGGTGGCTTCTTCATTTCTTTCAATAAAGATGATTTTTCTTAGGAAGAAAACTGGAATTGGTGGGGGCATCCAACATCTTTTCTCTGACAGGATGGAATTACCTCATATAAATGAAGGAAAAGGAGAAAGGTTTCAATTTTAATAACGTGAAAGAACATCAGTGCTTCAGGAAGGGAGAGGGCCTAGATATACATAATTTCATTGATATAGGGAATTCCTAGATGAGGAATTCCCTCTACCAATAGAGATACAACTTATTCTTTTCTATAACTTATGGTCTTAGTGGGTTGCCTAGAGCACTGTGAGGGTGACTTCTCAATGGTCACACAGTCAGCCAGGTCACAGGTCTTCACTGGCTTTGAGGTCAGAACTCTATCTATTGTGCCATCCTGCCTCAGAAGGTATAGCATCTGATATTGGTTTAAAATATGACCCATGTGTTAGGTGCAGAGAGTCATAGAGTCTTCAGGAGTCCTGTTTCAAACGTTGTTGAATATTAAGATTATTTCAACCTAAAAGTAAATCTAAATCATTTTTTTTTCTGGGGTGGGGGAATGATGTACTCTTGTTTGAGACCAGACTCCTTCCTGGCTATAGGGTGAGTAGTCAGTCCCAAGAGAGTTTAGTGCTTTTGTGTACCTTAAAGGAATGGGGGATGAGGGGAAAATGATGGAATGCCACACTCAGCTTTTCAGCACGGATACAGCAAAAATCAGAGACCATGGTTGGAGAAAGGGGAAGCCATCACAGCACCATTTAGACAACACTGCCATCCAATAGCTTTATTACTGTGGGTCTGAAAAGCCTGTGCTTCCTGCAAGGAGAATATTGAGTTTTCCTTGTGGATCAGCCCATATGGAGAGCACCTTGCTGTGGGGGCCTGAACCTTCAGTGAACCCCTCCCTTCAGTGAGCAGGGCATTGGTCCTATTGGTAGAAGACATAGGAGGCTAAGAGGTATTGGGCTATAGGGTGCTCATCTCCCTATGGTACTTAGGAGATAGTCAGTTCATGCCCTCCAGAAATAAAGATGGGAACAGAGCTGTTTAATTATTTTTAAAAAATCATTTATCTATGATTAAACTAGAGATCTTTCTGATGAACCTGGAGAGAAATAAAGAATTACAAAAAATTAAACTCAGAGCCTTAGTCAATATCTCAGAAAAAAATTATAGAGCTACATTGTTGAAGATAATGGCATATTGTTAAAAGCTAGCATATGTATGGCTCTGGTTATTAGAAGACATTATAGGAAGATTTAAGTATTTCTATTTCTTCAACATTTATAATTTTATAAGGGGCATCAGATGTAGGATTTATACACTATCCTGATTAGATTGTTTAATGTAAACAAAACACTAATATGGTACAAGAGGCTGACAAACAGGAACCATGGTTTGAACTCTCAATATATCCTAGATACACAGTAGCTTTAAAAAAGGGTCCTAAATAGAATCTTTCTATGGTATTCCTTTTCCCTCATGAGATTTAAGCCATATACATATAATTTTTTTTTGTAAAATGTTTCTTACCTAGAAAAGTACTACCGTAAACATTAACTTTGGTTAAATTTGCCCTCCAAAATATATGAAATATCTAGTTTGATCTTTACAATAAAAGACAACATGTAACAAAATATATGCTTAAGTATATAAGATTCTTACATTTTATTTCTTTAACATTTAAAATTCAAAATTATTTTTATGGTAGACAATGACAAAATGGATGTGACTGTTCCCGTTTACTCCCCACCCTCCCAACATATACATTCACAGGCTTCAACAGCTGTCTCATGCCTGCTAATCCTGGTTTTCAAAACCATGGTAGCATAAAAAGTATTAAAGCTCTTCTTTCTCCCCGACCTGACAAAAACAGTTATTTATCATAAGATTATCTACATTCACAGTTCTGAATGCACATGAACTATTTAGCGTTATTATGTAAGAAATACAGAATCAGGAGGTACAAACATTCTGTACAAGTCTGTGGATCAGAGATTTTTTTTTCTGAAAATGCCCAATGGCATATATCATACAAAAATCACTTCATATACAGACCTGAAAGAATTGAGGCAACTTCAGAATTGGGCTTTTTTTTTTTTGGTCCCTTTCTCTCAGGATCTCAATTCTATTAACCTCTTTCATTTACCATTTAAAAAATATCATATTTGAACATTGGATCTTTCTCTCTTTAAAAGGACACAATGAATGTTTATTCACTATATAAAATACCTACTAGTAACTTTTAGCTACTCAGTCCACATCTGAGTTGTTTTGTGTCCAGTATATCCTATGAGGCTCTGAAATTCATTCTAGTAGACTTATTTCACCCTTGATCTGGATAAAAAATAGAAATCTACATTCTTATACACAAATTAGCAAAATTCAGCAAAAAAATTTAACTGATCACCTAAATAGGACTGAAAATTTTAAAGTTCTCAAAATCCTCACTGGTAGAAAGAAAAAAAAAAAACCATCTAACTTAAAGACCCTTAATGAAAACGAGACTTTTGGTCTATTTTCCTGGCTATGACATTCATTTTGTGAAGAGATGCCTAAGATAAAAAATCCAGTTCTGTTTATAAATGAAAATAGTTACAATATTTCAAATAAGTCCAGAGGCATACACACACACACACACATATATATACACACATATATGTATATATGTATGTATGTATGTGTGTATATACACTTTAGGAAACATGCTAGAACATGTAACCAATTACTGCCTTCAAGAATGAATTTCTGCTTAATTCTGGCAATAAAGAAATGCAAAATCATGTACCACAAATAGGATCAAAGGGGAAACCAAATTATTCTGTCCTCCAAACTTCCTGGAAGCATCACTCTTGTATTTTATCTCTCTGACACAAAGAGAACAATCAAAAAATATATATATTTCTATACACATATCCCAGTAAAACTGTTTTTTCCCCCCTGATACAAAGGAATTTCCACATCTGTTTTACCAGGTGACACTTAAGGTTCAACATTTTAGAATGGGGATAGTTAATATGGCAAATGCATAAGGCTGCACTAGTGCCTGCAAACCAAACTCCAGACTCTTTATGCTACTTTACTTATTCTGTTCTACAGGACAAGCTATGTTCTGACATTAAGCTAACAGACAGATTTCTCTCTGTTGCAAGATTGAATAGACATGAAAAAACATTCCTAGTTCATTTTCCCTCTACCCGTGCCTAGCCCCTAAGCTTAAGAAAGATCTGTTTGCATAAACAATAATTAATATGGGTGTGGGGGAGGAGCCAAATCAATTTGACAGAAAAAAGTTTGAGAAGATATTTTCTACTCCAAACATGTTGCAGTTTATCAAAGTAATTAAAATAACACAATAACCTGGAATCTGTTGAACTCCTTTCATTAAGAAAGAAATTATCTTCCATTTTTTTGCCTTATAGATAAGATTTTCAGCAGTATACAAATACTTTGATCAGAGATTAATCTATATTGAATTAGACCATTTTACAACAGAATCCTAAAGTTGTTAATACAAAAAAAAATCTACCAGATAGGACTCTTAACACACAGTTAGTGGAAACAGATAAGATATTTTTGGTTAGGGGCCAGACTGTTAAGAGTACCTTTATGAGTCAATAGACTTCAAGTGGCTAGGATAATGTGCCTCAGTAGAAGTCTATTTGGAATTTTAAATCAGAGCCAAAACAAGAGCTTAGTACATATAATATTAAAAAAAAAACAACCCAGAACTATAATTAAACATTCCCCACACATTCTTATGGGGGAAAAAATGTAGAAAAACAAGTCTCCCTTTCATAAAAATGTTGAATGTTTCCTGAAGTATCTAAATGAAGATTATAAAAACATTTACAAGCTCCCACACAGATTTAGACACACAGAGAAAACAGAAAATGCATCCTCCACATTCTGTATTTGTGGCAGATCTTTTATAGTAGCTCCAAAAACACACACAACAAATTAAAATTTTCAAGTGTAGACAAAGAGTATCTTGGGGTCAAAGCTCCCTAACTTTTTGTACTACCATGGAATCAACAACATAAAGGACCATTTGCAAAGTTTTAATGAAAATTAAAAATCAGATTTTTAGATGAATTTGTGCCCTCCAAAAACTAAATTAAACCAAAGAACATCTTTTGCATAATTTGTTGAATTCAGTACTGAAGACAGCCTGAATTTAACTGTCTTCAAACACAGAAAAACACTAATCACCAAAGTGCACTTCAGACCACAGCAGCTACATTATTCTTTATACGTGCACACTCCCTAAGACACTTTGTACATGAAATTAAACAATGGAATATAAATAAGTATGTGGCTTCTTTTCAAATACACATACAGTAGAAGGAAGGTAGCACATTCACAGTCTTGGCTCTCACAGACTTCTTACAAAGAAACAACAACAACAAAACACCCAAACCCAAATCTTTCCAGACAATTTTGAAGAGTAAATTTACATTGCATGGGAGAGAAAGAAAAATGGGAAATTCTCACACAAATAACAGGGAGTATATATTGTCATGTATATTGGAATGATAATGGAACCTCGGCAAGGGCTTCTCGTATTCACCAGGAGAAGGAGATGATGCTTCAGCATTAGTTCAATTTCTTCTGAAAGGGGTTCCTCTCATCTTCAATATTTTCAGGGCTGAAGTCAGTACAGAAACCATTAGGGGTTGGAGCTGAGGGTGTCTGAACACAGCTTTCAAAACTTGCTTGATCTGGATATAAATATTCTTCTGCAAAGTCTGGGTACACTTCTGCAAACCTGCTGAAGTCAGCTAGAAAAAATAAAGACATTTTGTGTTATGTGGGCTCCAGGTAGAAGGCAACAGTTTAGGGTTATGGGAGTGTGTCACTTTGTCTTGTCTAGGTACCTGCTTAGAACACAGACCTTTCCTATAGCCTGTGGCTGCTCTGGCTTTTCAACGGGACAGGGAGGAAGATCATTTGGAATCCTTCCTCACTAAGAGATACTTATCCACCACCCAGGTTGCAGTTATACTTTACAGGCAAGGAGACAGTTTAACATGTGAATGCAGGTATATTTAAAATATTCCTTGCCATTCCCTCCACTAAAGTCATGCTTTAGTCTGATGCCACAATGTGGTACATGAGTACCAATGAATTCTAAAAAGGCATAACTGTGGGACACAAATTCTGATATTGCCTACCTAGCTTTCAGTACAGACCACTAAGAGTTTTGGTTCATCATTTGAGAACTAGCCTTGCTAAGTTTGGAGGGGCTCATCACCTAAAGGTGAGGAGATGTGGGGGTGAAGGAAGCATGGAAAGATTGTCACCTGTATCAGTGAGGAAGGATGCATAAAGATGAAATTGTCTATCTTCTGAAATTTTTGAAGAAGTGTTTTCTGGGCACAAAATGTTTTTAAAATTGAAGGGAAGGTTACCTTTTAAATATTGATAATAACTCAAACTTAATTGGCAAACCACAGAAAACCTTCCAAGGAAGCCATTTGGGTTTAAGTGCTCAGATGATAATGAGAAACAATGTAGAATTAGTAGATACAATGCCAGATTCATAATCACCAAGACCTGGGTTCAAATTCCACTTTAGACATTTGCTAGTTGTGACCTTGGTCAAGTCACTTAACAACAATAGCTAACCTTTATGTAGAGCTCTAAGGTTTACAAGGTGCTTTACAAACATCTCATTTTATTCTCACAATAACCTGAGTAGTAGATGCTATTATTACCCCCATTTTTTAGATGCGGAAACTGAGGCAGATAGAGATTAAATGATTTACTCATACACAGAGCTAGTGTCTGAGGCAGGATTTGAACTCAGGATTTCAAGTCCCACTCTCTTTCTCTTATGCCACCTAACCACCTCTCTGAATATCAGGCTTCTTATCTGTAAAATGGGGATGAGAAAAATCATCTATCTCACAGGGTTATTGTAGGGATCAAGTGAGATAACTATATATGTGGTGCTTTGCAAACCTTAGTGCTTACAGAAAGATTAGCTATCATTATGACTCTCCTAGTGATCTCATTAGCTCTCATAAATTCAACTGCTACTTTTATGCAAAAAAACTCCCAGATCCATAGGTTAGTTCCAGACTCTCTCCTGAACTTCAGTCTGGAATCACCAAATGCATCTCCTTTAGGCATCTCCATTGTAACATGTCCAAAACAGAATTACCTTCCCCCTTGCTCCCCCAAGGGACCGCTGTCTGCTCAGTGATCAGGATGTGTAACCTCAGAAAACAACTCCGTATTCTAACTTATCCCTCATATTCAATTAGTTGCAAGTGTTTTTGCTCCTACCTTAATCAATTGACATGCATTTATTAAGCACCTATGTGCAAAGCACTGGAGATAAAAAGAATGAAAATCACTTTTCAGAGGAGCTTACCTCCAAAATAGCTCTCACGTTCGTCCCTTTTCTCCCTCTTCTCTCACCTCCATCCAGCCTCACACCTACTTCAACAGCCTCCTAATTGTACCCAGCATCTCCTCCCACTAAATTGCCCTCCCACACAGCTCCCAAACTGATAGGCCCAAAGGCCAGTTCTGACCACTTCCCTATTCAAGAATGCCTAGTGCCTACCTCCAGCTTCCAAGATAAAATACAATGTCCTCTGTTTGGCTGGTAAAGTCCTTCCCAATCTGACTCCAGCCCTTCCAGGCTTCACATACGTTGTTCTCCTTCACACAATCTATGCCACAGCCAGACTGGCCCAGCCTCTAGTCCTTGATGTTCCATCTCCCATATGCCTACTATTGCATGTACTATTTCTTATACTTGGAATATACTCTTTCCTCAACTCCACCTCAGAGAATTTTTGGCTTCCTTTTTTTATGCTTAGCTCAGGTGTCTATTTTGACAGACTTGATCCTCTCATTTACAAATCAGCCCCTGTAGGTTATTCAGGCAACCTTTTTAACTCATCTGGAAAACTCAGCTCTGATCAAAAGGTAAATAAATTTTAGTTTAGATGAATTGGCGGTACGGGTCCATTGCGTTTTAGTCACACAGGTCTGGGAGGAAGTAGATTCCTCCTTTTCTCTGGATTACCCTAAATGGGATGATATGGGCATAGATAAGTCTCTTTGACCAAGACTGAGTGATCCATCATGTCCCCCAGACCCTTATTAGAATAAGCCCACCTCTCATTATAATATTCATCCTCTCATTACTTGTTAACCAATCAGAGTTGAATGCCACCCTCAAGAATATCCACTCTTCCAAGGGCATAAAAGCATTGAGTGGGTCTATGAGGGGTCTTTGGTATTCAAGAGTGCCACTGACCCCTTTTATTCATTATCCACTAGCATTAATTAACAAAATGATTAGTTACCCAGAAACTATGTCTCTCTGACTTCTTATATGTCACAAACAGAACAGGTAATAAAAAAAAAAACCTAAAGGAAAAAAAAACCCAAAGAAAAAAAAAACACCAGAAAGCCTGAACTTCTGTGGCTAAAAATACCTAAAAGTTATCTTTTGGATGGAGTTGGGAGTGGAGGGGTTTTACAGCAGGCAGATGGATTCATGTTGTACATGTAAGTTAGACATTTCATACATCAAAGTAACTGTCCTGAAATGATACAGTACCTCTCCAAAGATGCTAGATGCTGTTCTTGGGTCAACAGCTATACAGATGATCCTTCCATGACACTTTTCACTATTCATGGAGCCACAGTTAAGCTAAGTATTCTGAATTGACACTAACCCTATCAATCCCTTCAGCCTGACACTCTGGCTGAGCCCTTGTCATGGTATGAGGTTGGCTAGGGAAAGGCTGGGAGACAGATTCTCCATCTGTGGTGTCATGAGTGGGGCAAAGGGGATAAGAAAAGGATCAGGAGCAGATAGCTCTACTCAACTGTGGCTCAAGTAGTGTCAAAAACAGCCAAGTAGGGACAAAGGGAAAATGCTTTTCAAAGTATACAGAACAAAAGCCCTGAGGATCCTGGCAATTCCTCACTTGCAATATATTCAATGTAAATAAAAAAAATACTCCCTCACAGCTCTATTACTAATAATTGTTAAGTACCTCTGTCTTTATTCGGTTAACTTACACTGAAAGTTCTACTTAACTCACTTTTAAACTCGGTTTCCTCTGGAAAGTAAGTCCATTAAAAATAGCACATAGCACATAAGCACAAACTGCTTATGCTAGTAATTGGTAGTGTTCATTAGTAACTTTACGGCATAAACTGTTTTCTGAAGAATATAATAAATCCCAGACTATGCTTGAGCTATTTACTTTTCTTTTGTGGGTATTATCTAAAGAAAAAACCCACTAGTTTGGACTTTTACACTAATAAACTATGTCATACCAAAAGAGTTTAAATTGACAAGCAGCAGTTAGTTGTTCCCAACCTCCTCCATCCTCAATGCTCCCTCCACCTGTTTTTGCACATAGAACTTCACCTCTTATTTTACTGAGAAAATTAAATCCATCTGTCTTGAGCTCCCTCATTTCCCCTGGCTCAAACCCTTTCCCACATTTTTCTGTTCTCCTCTCCTTTGCTCTGGTCTCTGAGGAGGAGGGAGCTCTTCTGCTGGCAAAGGTTAAGCCCTCTACTTGTGCCCTGGATCCCATTTCCTTTCATCTCCTCCAGGAGGCTGCCCCATCATGCATTCTCTCACTCTCCTACTTTCTCATCTTCAATCTTTCCCCATCATTCATTCTCTCACCCCCCCTCCCATTCACTTGTCCTTCAAGCTTTCCTATTTCTGTTGAGCACAACACCATTTTTTGAGTCCCTCAGGTTCTCATGTATGGAGTCATCCCAGAATTTTCCTTCTTCCCTCGCTATACTGTACCATTCAGTGGATTACCACTCAAGCAGCTTTGTCAAGAAAATCCCAACTGGGGTCACGAGGAGTCAGTGATTGAAACAACTGAACAACATATTCCAAGCACAGTGCTAAGCACTAGGAATACAAAGAAAGACAAAAAGTCCTTGCCCTCAAAGGACTTACATTCTAAAGGGGGAGACATGTAAATAACTAATACATACAAGGTAGGTATGTATTATCAAGGTAGAGAGGATACTCACGAGGCACACATAAGACTTGGGAACAACCCACATTCCATAAGAACCAAGAGGGGAAAAGCAAGTTTGTGTTGTGAAATGGTCACTGGTTTTGCTACGGTCCACAGGGTCATGAGTAGTCAGGCATGACTGAACAAAGATGGAAAGTAATTTCAGAGGTGAAGGAAGTAAGTATTTATATAGCACCTACTATATCCTTCACCTACTACATGCCAAGTATTGTGCTAAGCACTTTTTATAAATACTATTTCATTTGATTTTCACAACAATCCTAGGAGGTAGATGCTATTATTAACCCCATTTTACAGTTGAGGAAGCTGAGGCAAACAGAGGATAAGTGACTTGCTCAGGATCACACGACTAGTAAGTATCTGAGGCTGGATTTGAACTCAGGTCTTCCTGACTTTAGGTCCAGTGCTCTCTCTATTCACTGTGCCACCAGCTACCTCCAAGGTAGGGAAGGCACTCGCTGATGGAGAGTAATGGAAAGGCTTCCTGCAGCAGGTGGGAGCTGAACCAAGTTTTGAAGGAAGCCAGGGAAGGTAAAAGGTATAGCTGAGGGGCAGAACATTCCAGGCATGCAGGAGAACCAGTTCAAAGTGACAGAGTCAGGAAATGAAATGTCAGTGTGGCTTATTTACTATGTCTCTAATCCCATTATTCCAGATATACATAAGCTCTTCAACTGCAAAATATGTATCTTATTTTAATCTGTATCCTCAGTGTCAGGGGCATCTGGGTGGTGCAGTGAATAGAGCGCCAGGCCTGGAGTCAGGAAGATCTGAATTCAAATCTGGTTTCTCAGACACTTATTAGCTGTGTGACCCTGGGCAAGTCACTTAACCTCTATTTGCCTTAGTTCCTCATCTGTAAAATGGGAATATACTGGAGAAGGAAATGGCAAACCACTTCAGTATCAGAGTCAGACTCCACTGAATGACTGAACATCCTCAATGTCAAACACGGTACTTTGTTTAAGTAGGCACTTAGTAAATATTTATTGCATTGAACTAGACCTTTGTTTTATTCTATTGTTGCCAGCAGTATCTAAAAATGCAGTGTGATTGCTTCATAGACAAAGGTAAAGGGAATTCTCATACATTCTAGGCCATGAAAACAGAAAATCTGGTCAGGAGAAAAAGATGAATGCAGTAGAAAGGAAATAAAGGAGGGCCAATTCCTTGAGGCTTCAAACAAATAGGAAAGGTGACAAGAAAAGATCTAGTATTGGGAAGTATCTCATGAGATATGTATCAGGAGGGAGGAACCAAGCCAAATGACCAACATGGGGTTTGAACTTTTAAAGTCTTGATTGAATTCATGATGCTTTTGTTCTTTAGCTCACACTCTAGAATAACTAGAGAAAGGAACTCTAATAAGAACTAATAAGTGTGGGCCTGTGTATATATATATATATATATATATAGGTTGGATTCTACTAGACAGTTATGGATCCTTCACCAAAGGTAAGCTGATAGAACCAGTAGAATTATGCAGTGGATTACTGGAGTCAAAAACATCAATGTAATGTTTTCACTGCTGAAATGGCTATAGCCAGTGACACCTTGTGGAAAACACTGAAACAGTTTTTGCTTAGAAATATTTCACAGTAATAACCCCTGTCAAAGTGCTTGCCTTTTCAATGATGGGAAAACAGAAGAGTAGAGGAGAGAATTTGGAACTCAGAATTTTAAAAAACAAATATTAATTTTTTTTACATGTAGTTGGAAAAAAAATATTAAAAAAGAGAAACATTTCACAATAGCTCTCTCTTTTTGAAAGATCACCCAGCCAGTTTCTTTGGGAAAAGCAATACCCTAGTTACTTGTCTTGGAATTCTTTCATTTGGATATAGCTGGTGCTCACATTGTGTTAAAATTAGGACACTGTCAATTTCAACATATAGAAAAGACACAAAGAAATCACTTTAGATATACTTTGTGGAAAATGGCAACTGTTTAATTTTCTTTAGTGATAAATCATCTAATAATGAGGATGCTGGTAGGTATTTTTTCTTCTGAAAAACTTAACATGGTAGTAGGTAGATTTCTATACTTCATGGTTCCCTAGTGAAATCTCTAACTACTAGCATAAAAACAGCATTGTCTTAAATTTGTCATTTCCATGGGTTCTTGAAATGATAACATTATTTTGTGACATTAAAAAATAATGACTACATTAAGAATTGGAAAGCCTAGGATTTAATTTCTGCTTTCCCACTATTAACGTTGGGTGAGTTCCTGAAATGCTATGTTCCCTTGGTTTCTTCCATGTAAAATATGACAGTTAACTCTTGACCATCTGCTTTGTGGACAATCTATAATTTAAAAAAAAAACCAAAACCTTAAAATCTCAAACTGGGCAATTTTTGCTGTCTAGCATATTCTGGGGTCACTTCTGCCTGAACCATTAGGTGCTATATGCTCAGGAGGAACCAAGTGTTAATTTTATTATATAACAAAAAGTATAATTAAGAAGGTATATTTTAGTTTGAAATATAAGTGGATTTTTGGTTATCCATTGTTTTGCTTTTAACTGTTTTACTGGTCTCCTTCATAAGCAAAAAAAACTGAAATTGACAATTTTTTTAAAAAATTAGATGGTACTAGGCAAATACGTTTTCCTGGGTACTGGATATCACAAGTAGTACATGCATTATGGGTATCATTTTGAGAACCATGACAGAAATTTAATAAATCTCTCCTTAGGTATGACTATAGTTTCTCAAAATGTGGAGGAAACTACCACTAGCATGAAAAATAGCAAACAAAAACATACAAACAAGAGGGGTCAAGCCTCAAATATCCTCAAAATCTTCTAATTCATGACCTCAGTTACCTACCCCAAAGACTTCAATAAACTCAAAAGACACTAAGTTTCATACTAGCATGTGTATGAAGAAGTGGAAGAAATTCCAAATAGTTTCTCAGAGATAAGGAATGCAGAAAGGAGACAGAAAGAAAGAATCGAAGGGGATCAGTCTCTAATAAGTTCTCTAAATCCCCCTATTACTCCTTTCTTTGGCAATTCTGTCAAGGATGAAAAAATGGTATAAAGATAAGGATTAAAATAATCTTTTGGAGAAGCATAATTTTCATAATTTTCTTTCTCTACATTTGTTGGATATTGCCAACAATGGATAATTTATGATGTAGACTCCCTAGGATTGCCTGGAGTTTCAAAAATACTTTAGAACTTACCAAATGTGATCTTCCCCTTTTCTTCTTCATCTATAGCTCTAAAAAGATCAGTGACATTAAGCTCTGCAACACCTATGGCAGTCTTCAGAATGCAAGCCAAATCCTCTGCTTTTATGCTCCCATCTTCTTGTGATTCATACATCTGAAAAGGCACAATGAAACCTTATTCATTTATATCCTTCCCATTACCTCTGTTAAAATTCTATCTGCCCCTTATGGCCCATGTGAAGTTCCATCCCCTTTGTAAAGCATTGTCTGATGGTTTCAGATTCTATAATCCCCTTTTCCATATGTATAATGTCTATACCATTCATTTTGACACTTACTGTTAAATGACTACTGAGCACCTGTGATATTTAAGGTATAGTCTCATATTGCTTATTTTATACACATTTCTCTTCCTCCTTCCCTTTTCTATCTCCCTCCTCCTGACCTTCCTGTTCTTCTCTCTGTCTCTTTTGAGCCAAGACAGACAGATGTCCAGACCAAAACAAAAGCATTTATAAGATCAAACATGTCAAAAAAATGCACATATGAGAATTAAAAACAGCCAATTCAGTTCCCAGGCTCTCATCATCAGCTTGGGTTCCAACATTGAAGGTTGATGTCATGCATGTCTGGGTTAAATCTCTTCACCCACTCTCTCCTAAATTCTAAATAACACTTACATTCATATTCAAGTTCCTCTCCTTCTTTAACCCAATCTATGGCATTTCATCATAGACCCCACTAAGATACGTACAAGAAACAAAGGCCACTTGGGAACTCAACTCATTGTCTCTCAGCATGATCTCTCCCACTCCTTATCCAATGGTTCTTCTGAGTTTAGAAGTTAAATTTTTGTACAAGAAGGAAGAAGGGGAAAGGAAGACAGGAATAAAGAGACCAGAAACTGTCCTCATGAGATCCCAAACTACACCCCTAGATCCTCTTTTGCATCGATTTCGATCTTAGAATGTATGTTATGGAATGTATTCTTTTTTTCCAGAGATAAATGAGCACTTTTATTTCTTTGTTTCACAAATAAACTGGCTAAAATAGCTGTTTCCTGTGGGCTAATCAAATAGACCAAATCCCATATCTTCATCAGACTCCTCTGATTCTTTCTTGGTTTCCACCTTGGCTGGAGTGGCAGCAGCAGGTGTGCAGTAGCTGGAGTAGCGGCTGCAGGGGGCAGCCACTGCAAATGTCAAAGGGTCAACCAGGGAAGGCTTTCACCTTTTCAGCAAGTGGGAAGGTGTACTCAGTCTCCACAGCTACAGCCAAGACTCACTTATACCCATTGAAGATCATGCGGGGTACTGATACAACAGCTGGGTAGCCAATCTACAGACAGATGCTGGAAACATTTCGGACATCCTCTAAGAACTGAAGGTGCAAAGTATCTGTGCTGTCCAGCACTTTAGGATTGTAGAAGCTACCACTGTCAAATACTTGCTGAATGATCAGTCCAAAGGAGAAGGGGTAGACGGTCAGCATGGTCAACAAAGTGGCCTCACTGGCTCCCACTTTGTCTCCAGTCTTAATCAACTGCACATCACTCAAGATTTCAATGGTGCCCCCAGAAATCTTTGTATTGATACCCAGAGCCTGGAAGAAGGAAGCCAGTGGGGATGGCATGGTGTAATGGCACTGGCATGGGCAGCAGCTGGCACCTTACTGGCCAGAAACATGTCTCTAATCTCAGTCATATCTTCCTTGGTGAACACAAAGCCCACATTCTCCCGAATATGAGGCAGCAGTTTCTCCAGGGCAGGGTTGTTTCTCCAGATGCCTATGAATGGCTTTGTGCACCATGGTGTTTATTTTCCCATCAATACTACAGCCTTCCCATGGAGGGACATCTGGATCTGTTACATCTGCTTGGAGCCCACATTGCTCCCACAATGAAATATTTTGGATAATCATACACACAGAACAACATAGCACACACAGCAGCTATTCTGGAGATGTGTTGCCAGACTGCAAAATGGCCAGCATTGTGGGAAAAGAACTTGGTGGAGTTGACTGATAAGCAATGACTTTGAAGGTAGATACTGCACAGAACCTCTAAGTGAGTGCTAGAGAAGACAAAAAGGAGGGAGAAATGCACTAGGCCAACATGTTCCTGCCACTCCATGCCCTGAGAATACCCTGCCTTGATACTAATGATGCTATTGCCCGATACCCATGATTTCAATGACCTAGCTGCCTCCAGGTATGCAATGACTGCAGCTGGAATGCTCATACTGACCACAGTCAATCGGATAAGTTTTCCATATCTCAACCAGGCTCCATATTTATTGATTAGGATTTAGCCTTATCAACAAACTCCAGTCTCCCTATTATTTCTAGGATACAACCTGGTTTGGTTTAAAAGTCCTTCTTACCTTTCCAGTCTTACATTTGATTCCTCTCTACCCACTCTGTGATCGAGGACACTGGTTTCCTTGTTGTTTCTCTCATAAGATGTTCCATTTCCCTAACTTCTATGCCTTGGTACTTTCCCCCATGGCTACAATATTCTTCCTCCTTGTCTCTGTCACCTGGTTCAGATAAACCCCATTTTTTTTCATAAGTCCCCCTTAATGGTAGTGCCTTCCCTCTGAAATTACCTCTGATTTATCTTGTATATATTTTGTATGAACATAGCTGTTTGCATATTGTCACTCCCATTAGATTGTCAGTTTTTGAGGACAGGGACTATTTTTACTTTTCTTGGTATTCTTGGCACTTGGCACAGTGCCTGACATAAAAAATTCTTAATGAATTCTAGTTGCCTGACTGAATGCAAACTTCAAGATGGCAGGAAACTACAGCCTAGGCTTCTTTTATAAACCCCATGGTGCATGGTACAGAGCTGAGGTTATACTAAGCACTTAACAGACTGACTGACCTGGATAACACTAATTCACATTTTGTGTTACAGCTAGATCCTGATTAGTATGAATGAGTCTTCTGTAGTGGTTCCTTCTATTCACATTTACACTATTTGATATTATAATTATGTAAAATATGGTCCTTTGTTCCAGCCCAATGGAAATGTCCAACGCAAATTTAAACAATGTAGTCACTTCAGTGGGATTTATCACGTACACATGAATTGGGACCTAGCTGTATTCTGAACAAATTATTGCCCTACATTTTGTGTTATTTTGTACATAGCCTGAGCAAGAGATAAAAGACTTACAAGACAAAGGGTAATGGTTCAATCTTCTCAAGAGAATAAACTCTTACATTAAAAGTAATTTCTTTTTCTTCAGAAAATGGGGAAAATAAAATTTGGCAGTACCTGCTCCACAGAATTTTTGTGAAGAAATGTCTTGTAAAACTCTAAATCTTAATTATGGATTATTATTATTATTGACATTAACAATAATAATTTTTTAAATTATTATTTGGTAGAATCGAGCCATTTCCTTCTATGTTTATTTTCAAAGCTTCTTTAAGAAGGTTAATCCAATATCTAGTACCAGATTAGGAAGTGGTCAGAAAGAAGCTTACATAAAAAGGCCTGGGAATTTTAGGGGGACTTCAAGCTTGGTATGAGTCAAAAGTGTGATGCTGTGAACCACAAAAGCTAACATGCTCTTAGGCTGTGGTGCCTGGAACAAAAGGAATGACACTGGGCCATGTCCTGATCAGCTCACACATGGAGTACTGTCTTTAGTTCTGACTGTACATTTTATTTTATTTTTTTGTGAGACAATAGGGGTTAAGTGACTTGCTCAGGGTCACACAGCTAGTGAGTATCATGTGTCTGAGGTCACATTTGAACTCAGGTCCTCCTGACTCCTGGGTCGGTGCTCTATCCATTGCGCCACCTAGCTGCCCCTCCAGCTGTACATTTTAGAAAGATCATTTATAACATGGAGAGAACTCAGAGATTAATGTGAAGTGAATTTTTAAAATGCCATAGAGAGAAGGTTGAAGGAATGGGAATATTTAACCTGGAGAAAATATAAGACTTGGGATTTTTCTTCAAGTTTCTCTAAATGGTTATGATGTGGAAGAGCAGTGGGCCTTTCAGTTTGGCCCTGGGGAGCAGAATTTGTGATACACAAGTATAACATAAAAGTTTACAGAGGGAAACTTTGTCTCAGTATCATCAAAAACAAGATAACTGAGAGTCATCCTCACATAGAATAGGCTGCCTTCACAAATGATGGTGAAGGGCAGCTAGGGAGTGTGGTGGAGTTAGGAGGACCTGAGTTCAAATCCGGCCTGACACTTGACACTTACTGGCTGTGTGACCCTGGGCAAGTCACTTAACCCCAGCTGTCTTGCCAAAAAAACAAAAACAAAACAACAACTACAAAAAAAACCTAAAAAAACAAGTGATGATGAGTTCTTCCTCCCAGGTGGTCTTTAAGCATAGGCTAGATGGTTACTTATTAAAGATATGGAGAGGGAATCCTTACTTCAGGTACAGGTAAGACCAGATGACCTCTAAGGTATCTTTCAATATTGAGATTATATGAGTCCTTAAACATTCAATGTTATGTGTTTAAAATATGACTTTAGCTTTCAGTTCAGAAAAGTCATATGCTTTTAAAAGAAAAACATGTGTTTTCATGAAGTAAGGAAAAGGCAAGGGACTGGAGAGCCTGGGTGCTTGTTATTGACTTGCTGTGTGACCCCTGGATAAGTCATTTTTCTTCTTATGCAACTCAACAAAATAGGACATTGGAGTAGATTTTGTGCATGAAGGGTACCCTCTAGTTCTAAAAATTCTATGAATCTCCAAATCTCCAAAGACATTATGGTGAATACAATTTTGCATTTCACTTTTTAGTTACAAAGAAAATTTAACTTCAACATAATAAAGTCCTAAAAAAAAAATCAAAATAAAGCTCAAATGCAACCTAATAATGTAATTTCCCCTCACAAGGATGATAAACTAGCAAATTTGCATTTTATTTTAGGTCTGTTACTAATTTTGCAAGATACCTGGAGGATAAAAGAGGTAACATATACTGTGCCCTGGCTTTTCAGAAGAAATGCATTCCATGAACTTCAGATATTGAACAAGCACTGTAGTGGTAGGTGTCTTTGGACAATGATGGCATGCCAAGAGCCAGGAGATTCTTATTTTTTCTCCAATTATAAGAGAACAAACAAGTTGTGCCATTGCTCTAGGGCAGTTGTTCATTGTCGAAAGGTCAAGCAATGAGGCAGAAAGTTCTTTTTTTAAAACCTTCTTTACTAAAGTATCCATTGTTTTTCTGCATTCCTTTAAATTAATATTAGCTAATATATTTATATAAGGCTTTCAAAGTGCTTTATGCAAAATACCTCCTGATTGTTACAATAAAAGTAGATATGATTATTATCCCAATATAACACATGAGGAAATTGAGGCTGAGAGGTTAAATGATTTGCCCAGGGTCACTTAGCTAGTACGCAAAAGTGTCTGAGTCAGGATCTGAACTCATGTCTTTCTGATTCCACTCTATCTACTGTACCTTAGTATGGAGATGCCAGCCATAATATTTTGAGATAGAGTACAGTTAATGATCTCATACTTTCTAGACATTTTACTTGGAAAGGCAATGTTAAACATGTATAAACTTTTATAAAGTGATATAGACTGAAGTAAGGAGAGGCAAGAAAACAATGTTCACAGTTATTACCACAGTGTAAATAGAAGGAACAACCAAAAATAACAGAAAGTCATGTTGTAAAATTATAAAGGGAAGGGAAAAGCATTATATGGTGCCTACTAAGTGCTTCTTACAAATATTACCTCATTTGATCCTCACAATAACTCTTTGAGGTAGGTGCTATTGTTATCCTCATTTTATAGCTGAGGAAGCTGAGGCAAAGAGAAATTAAGTGACTTGTCCAGGGTCACAAAGCTACTAAGTATCTGAGACTAGATTTCAACTCAAGTATTCCTGACTCCAAGCCCAGCTCTTTATCTACTGTGCCAAAGAAGAGTATGTGAGAAGATACCTTCTCTCATTCCTTTGTAGAGGTGGGAAGTCCATGGGCATGGAACATTGCATGTATTTTCATGATTTTTAAAAAATGTATTGATCAGTTTTGCTGATTTTTTTTGTCTTCCTCTTTTTCTTTTTTTTCCCTTTTTTTTGTGGTTATATGGGATGACTGTCTAGAAGGAGGGAAGTAGAATAATACAGGGAGAAACTGAAGTAATATTAAAAACAAGCTATTAATGCAAATTTTATTTTAAATACTAGAGAAAGGCAATATTATTAAATGTTAAGAAGAGTTTGAAAATCCGATGTAACAACTGTATTACTATGGGATTTTATTCATTCCCTCTGTCTCAGTTTGCTGACATATCTAAAAGGTGACAGTGACTGCCCCATTACATCAGAGTTGTGAATAATTACTACCAGCCTTGCAATTTCCTAGTCTTTAGTGGGGAAATTTACTTTGTGCCTGTCTTAGCCACTCTGGCTTTAAACCCCTGAAGGATATGTTGTGTGACTTTCCTTTTTAATTTACATAGTAGACACAATTTTATGGTTTTATGGCAATTAAATAAATATTAATATACAATACATATTTCTAAAAATCAAGGTTATGTTACTTTACTCCAGGCTTGTGTTTGTAAAACTTTCAGATTTTGGAAGAAAAATGTGACAAGTGTTTCACATTTAATATACTTTCGTTTTATATAAAAATGATACCACTTGCCTTAAAAGCCAACTGAATTGTTTCCAAAGTCTTCGATGGTCTACATACTACAGATAAAGCAATTACATATTCCCGTAAGTCAATTTTGCCACTTTCATCCTGTAAAGAAAAGCAACCACCACATCAGTGTTTCATCAACTATGAATTTAAGAATTTAAGAAATGATCAATAGAATTAAAACTTAAAAACATTAACTGACTATTCATAGAAAAGTGCCCATACATATATGTACAAACATATGTACATACACACACATATTTTAAAATTTAGTTGTTGAGAGATGACAATAGGGATTTGACCTCCAAATTTAGAAGACTGGTGTTTAAGTCAAGCTTCTGGTGTGTACTAGCTGGCCAAGTCCCTTCATTTTTCAGTGAACCCCAGGGAGATCTCTAAGACTACATATTACAGAGCAGGGGCTATCCTGCTGTGGTAGAGTGAGATTCTTCAGTGGCAGCCGCTTACACCAATGATATCACATATATAGTGCAAAATTTTTTTAAAATTGTAATCAAGCAAAACTTCTGAATTAGCCTTAGTATAATGGCTTCTAAAATACAGCATGTACAAAGACATGATTCAGGAGGCAGCATGGTATAATAGAGAGGCTGATGAATGCAGAATCAGAGGACACTGGGATAATGTCCCAGGTCTGTTGCTTATTAATCAGTGTGACCTTAAGAGAGTCCCAAACTTTCTGGGCCTCGGTGACCCCATTTGTAAAAGGTGGTTGGACTAGACAACCTCTAAGATCTCTTTCATCTCTAAACTTGTACTCCTATGATTCTTCCCCCAATAACCCTCCCCCCCAACCTACAAATGTCTTGTACATAGCTAGTAATAAGAGACCAGAATTAAGTGGAAGGTAAACATGGAGGGCTTTTAATGTCAGGCTGAGGAATTTGCATTTGATCAGCGAAAAGAAGTTAGAGATGGTTATTACAGAAAAGAGAAGATTGAAGAGAAATAGTTATATTTCTTCAAACTTTTCAAACTTCAAAAATTCAAACTTTCGAAAGGCCATCATGTGGAAGAAAGATTAGACTTGCCCAAGGGCAGAACTAACAGAACAAGTATAAGCTACCCAAAAGTAGATTTCTGCTAAGAAAAAAACAAACAACCTTAACAATGAAAACATTCTAAAAAGGTAATGAGTTCCCTCAAGCAACAGCAAGTTCAAGAAGAACTTAAAATGCACATATATGTATGTAATACATAATATATATGTACCCATAAGTACACATGTGTGTATGTTTACATATGGATGGTGTTCAGTTGTTTTAGTTGTGTCTGATTCTTCATGACCCCATCTTGGAGTTTTCTTGGCAGAGACTCTGGAGTCATTTGCCATTTACTTCTCCAACTCATTTTACAGACGAGGAAATGGAGGCAAACAGGCCTAAATGACTTGCCCAGGATCACACAGCTAGTACATGTCTGAGGCCACATTTAAACTCTAGTCTTCCTGACTCCAGGATCTGTGCTCTTATTGACTGTGCCACATAATATGTGTGTATGGGTGTCCATGTATGTGTAGATATATATGCATATGTATGTATATATGCATGTATGTGTATAGAAGTATATAGGTGCATATGTGTGTGTGCATGTATGTATGTGTATATGTACGTGTGTATGTATGTAGAACATTTATTAAGTGCTTACTACATGCAAGTTCCTGTAGGGAGATTGCAAAGGGGTTTCAGATAGGTCTTTTTCAATTCTGAGATTCTGTGACTATACAAACACTGACGAAAAGTCCAAGGATACTGGCAGTCATATGTAGTGGAAAGAACATTACCACTTACTAGCTGTGTAACACAGGAAAAATAACAACCTCTTTGTGTCTCAGTTACCTCATCTATGAAATAAGAATACCCATAATACCTACTTTATAAGTTTGTTTTGAGAATTCAATGAGATAATGGATTCTTTATAAAAGTGCTTTATAAAACTTAAAGCACACCAAGGTATATGATTAAAAATATTCTATTTTTTTTTGCTCTTTCCCTCCTCATTGCTCTTCACCTAAATGTTTGGGTGAGAAATGAGAAAAAAAAATTCCCAACATCCCAAAATGTTTTTCATATTGAATTTTGCTCCTCTGTTCTCTGAACTATGATTATCCTTACTATTATTGAAGGTGAAAACAACTAAACAGATAGTTACATTGATTTTTGATTGAAGTATTAATTTTTTAAAAACGCAGTCATGTTACACTACCTAAGGACCTTGCAGCTGAATGTTTTGTATTTGACTTTTAGGACAGAAAAATAAATTTAAAGAAAACAAATGGATATGTAAAATGTATTTAAGAAACTGAATTTTACAGTATGTTTGACAGAGATGAGTGTCAAATTAAACAAGAACTTAAGTACCTACTATGTGTAAGACATTGTTCTAGGTCAATACAGATTTAATCCAATGAAATGCCCACTCATAAAAATGACCCTGGGCTAGAAAAAAAAAGTAATATTTTATTCATTAAGGCAGGGATATGTATAATACATCATAAAGAGATTTTCATTTAAAAAGGTTGATAGGAGAAAAAGTTTTGGTGTTTTAGGGTGAAATTTCAGAAGCCGATCAGCCAGAACATCTCTCTCATCATTTTGCATAACTGAAGTTGTATACTTAACAGTATTCCATTTTCCTGTTTTTTCCTCCCTTATCACAGCTCACTTAAACATTTGGATGAGACAACAGGAAAACAAAACAAAAACCACCTCCCCTAAATGTTCTAATCTCAAGGAAAAGAATGTAGTCCTTTCTTTGTGTTAATGCTCCGTTCCTCAGAACTACTGAAGCAAACTCAACTAGTTGGTTTGTTCCTGGCAATGCCATTCCTGCAACTGTCGGGGTAGAAGACAGTTCTATGTAGAGATAGCCCCCTTTACCTTCCAGGCAGATTCCTCCTCAGGGAGACACCCTCTACTACTTGTCTCTGCTAGAGATTTGACAGGCTTTGTTGAAAGAGGCATGTGTCTTTCTCAATACTGTTTTGAATGTATGGTGATATTATATTTTAATAGTGCTATGAAATAACATTGGTTCTATAAATAAATTTATTTTGTCCTCTCCCTGGCATCTGATTCATTTAAAAAAATATTATTATTGATGTCTTTTGTATGCATATCACCTAAATTTCCCCCTGTATTCCTTCCATTTCCCCTCCCCAAAACCTCTGCAAAGAAGTGAGGGAAGATGTTGAAGAAACTTTTAACTGCTAAATATCAATCCATCTAACCTGCTAACATTGTATTGCTTTAGAGAAATACTGGACAGACCCTTATTAGCTGTGAACATTGTTAGAAAGCCTTACAATACAAAAAAGAGATTTGACTACGACTGGGAGAAAATTGCAGCTTTTCTCCAAGAGTGACAGCTTTTGATGTACCAATAGTTCATAGGCAACACTACATCTTCAAATGAATTTTTAACGGTGAGCAATTATTCAATATATTTAGCATTTATACTTCTGTGCTGATAACCATTTCAAAGCAGCTCAGTAATAATATAATCACAGCTGTAGTTGTACACCCCCCCAAAAATTCCAACAATTCCCCCCAAAACAAAACAAAAGAATACAACATTGTGTATTTTATTCCATAGTATCTAAAAGCTATCTTTTATACTACTGATGTCTATTTTCAGGAGGATTTTGTCAAGATTAAAAAGTGTCAACAATACACTGAATTATACATTGCAAAAATTTATTAGTAAAACAAAAGAATGCAGGAAATGTATAAGAACTACAGATTCAATCAAACACTTGGGGGTAGGGAGAGAGGAGCTAAAATGTTTATTAGTTTGTATCCTGTGCAACATGTGATGTTCTAATTAGCAAATTAACTACACTGTTACATTACATTCATTTAATAGACACATTCAAATGATGCTTTCTTCATAAAGACTTCACTAATCTTCTCTCCACCATCTCCCGAGCTCAAGCTGGAAGTGATTTCATAACTCATAGCACTTTGTATATTTACTCTCTCTCTCTCCCTCTCCATTTCTCCCTTTCCTGCTCTGCCTCCAAACACGTGTGCAAATTTAATCACTTTTAAAATTGTATTATATTTAATCCGCATATCTATTGGATTGTAAGCACTCTGAGGGTAGGAACTATGATTTATTTTTGTATTTCTGACACCTAGTACAGTGCATTAAATATCATAAATAATAAATAATAAATGTTTGTTTAATTAATGAACAAGAAATAATACCAATAGGACCCACCATTATCATGAGTTTACTGACATATTAATCTACAAATTTTAGTGTTAGCATGCTTTTCTTTTGTACTAATATAATTCTTACCTCATCAAATAGAGCAAACATGTCACCCAATGTATCAGAAACTGGGACTTCCATGTATGCAGCAAATTCTGAAAGACTAATTTTTTCTCCATTCTTCATCTTAGCACTTTCTGAATATCTATCCAGATCTTTTTCAAGTTTTTCTGGTTTTAACCTAAACACAAAAAGGGGAAAGATTTTGACAATAAAATTGCATGTTATTAATGAGTTGTCTAAACTTTGATTTTAAAATATCAACAAATGGTTTATAATTAATGAAATATTCAGAATAAGCAACAAAGAATATTTTCCCAGAAGAAATGATAATTCTAATAATTTTGAGCCACCCCAAAATATGCCCTTTAGTTGTTGATGTTATCATTTGCCCTTCTTTCTCTTTTCTTTTCCTTTTTTTGGGGGGGGGGTTAGGCAATAGGGTTAGGTGACTTGCCCAGGGTCACACAGCTAGTAAATGTTATGTGTCTGAGACCGGATTTGAACTCAGGTCCTCCTGAATCCAAGACTGGTGCTCTAACCACTGCGCCACCTACCTGCCCCCCATTTGCCCTTTTCTCTCGAAGAGGACCATGGCATCAGGAAGGTGTTGTCATGACACGCAAGTGAATTGGATTTAAGTGAGGGAGGGCTGTGCAAAGTCACTAGCCATCTGGGTCCAGTGGCAAGATATAGATCCGGATGACTGAAGATGGCCCTAGATGCAATGGGAAACCATGGACTTCTAAAACTAAAGTCTTTCCCAGGTTTCAGTTTGACAGAGGCAATGCCCATTCAGTGATTAAGGTTAGATAAGAAATGAGGCAAAGAATGGCCTCTTTTACCTAGTCAAAAAAAAAAAAAATCAAAGACCCTCTGGGTTTCAGGCCAAAACAGAAACAATTACTATTTACATTCACTCTGAGCAATCAGGACCCAAACAATGACCCCATGACCTTGATCCTATTGCCCTTCCTTCCTTTCCTCTCCTTCTATCCACATAGGGTATCATACCCTTACCTGTAGGTGTTCTGCCCAAAGGAATGATAGCTGAAATCACACAAGATATCTTAGGGTTTATGGGCTAGATTTCTTTCTTAAGGACCATGCCTTAACCCCAAATCTCTCTGGCTCTTACTGCTCTTTAGTAATCTTCTGCCAAAGGTTGATTCTCTTCTCAGGTTCTTGATTGATTTCAGTTTCTTACACAATGGCAGACAATTTTATTAAAGAAGTAACAAGTCAACAGTCCCCTCCCCAATACCTTTTATTGTTTTTGTACTTTAACAACAGTTATTTCAACCCCTCCCCATCCCTAACTCTCCACTGAATCTTCCAATTACTCATAATTTGTTGATACTGTTGTATTTTACAATATTCTCTTAGCTCTGTTCATTTTGTTCTGTATTAACCAACAGAATTCTTCCTATGTTTCTGTGAATTCCTCATAGTCATAATTTCTTAATACATAATATTTTATGATATTCATATGCCATAATTTTGTCAGGTGTTCTCCAACTGATGAAGCGCCTACTTTGTTATTCATTCTTTGCTCCCACAAAGAGCGCTAGTCTGAATATTTTGTTTCTGCTTTTGACTTTCTTAGGGTGTCCCATGGTGGGATTTGCTAAGTTAAAGGGTATGGTCAGTTTAGTGAATTTCCTTGCATAATTCCAAACTGAAATTTAGAACTGTTTAGCAACTTCACAGCCCTACCATCAGTATGCAAGTTTTCCTAAATCCCCTGCAACATTGACTGTTTCCATCTTTTGTCCTCTTTGCCAACTTGCTTGGTGTGGGATACAACTTCAGAGTTGTTTTAATTTGTATCTCTCAATGTTAGTTATTTGGATCATTTTTCATGTGATCATTTATAGCTTGCAATTCTTGTTTTGAAAACTGTTCATAGCCTTTGACAATGTATCTACTAAAGAACAGCTGTTATATATTTGTGTCAATTGCCTATATAGTTAGGGATTCATTTTTATCACTGCTATTCAATAGCAGTTAATGTGAATAATAACTACTGGCTTCCATTCACCAGGAGACAATCAAGCATCCCATGTATTTGTTGTTGTTTAGTGATGTCTGACTCTTTGTGATTCCTTTTTGGGGGTTTCTTTGGCAAAGATATTGGAGTGGTTTGCTATTTCATTCTCTAGATCATTTGAGGGATGTATAAGGATATACAATGTCTCATATATATTAAATTACTACTATGTGATCTTGAGCAAATCAATTAACCTGTTAGTGTTTCAAACAATGTTTAGGGCTATACATTGCAGAACAGTATCCAGTCTGCATTAGGAAAGGGAATTTTCTCACTGAGATTTCTCTATACCAATGAAATCACATGTATGAACTAAACAGAAGTTGGGGATGTTCAAACTCGTGTCAAATACTAAAGATTTTGAGACTTCTCTGACATAGGAAGGGAATTGAGATGTGAAAATGATGAAGAATAAAACTAATTCCTTCTTTAATTAAGGAGTTATTAAGAGATAAGCTAGACTGGAATTTAGTTAGAACTACGCAATTACCTTGTGGAAAAATTATTGTGACTGATGATCAGTTATAATGAATCAAATTTTATTAACAAATATTTATTGAGTGCCAACTAGTGTGAAAGCCAATTTGCTAGGTGTTACAGCTGATACAAAGATGAAAAAATGTGGTGTCTTGCCCTGAAGAACCTTACATTCAGTATAAGTGAGTAAGACTACAGGGAAGCTTTGTATACAAGCTACTTTAACACAAGGCATAATGTCATTAAGTGCCAAAAGGAAAATTCAAATTCAGAGAAGGGAGAGATCACACTTAGTTGGAGAGAATTGAGGAGAATTCATAAAAAAGTTGGCATTTTGAACTGGGTAGAATGAATAGGGCTGTTAGATTGTGGTGTCAGGAGGGGGCAGTTCAGGTAAAGAGTGCATGAGCTTTCAACAGGGAGTTGAAAGAAGTTACTATAACTTATACACAGTTAGTTGTCATTTGTTGCTTACTTAAAAAATTGGGTAGATGACAGCATTTTCCTTGTAAGGTTTTTCAAGGGCCAAATGACATAATGTATGCAAGACACTGCAAATCTTAAAGTGCTATACAAACATGAGTTATTTTTAGCAGTAGTGTTATCAGTATTAATTCTTTAATCCTTAATACATGTTTAATCTCAAAAGCAGGGCTCAGTTAAGCATGCTTAAGGGAGAGAGGGAGAAGAGAGGGAGATGGAGATAGAGAGAGAAGGAGAGGGAGGGAGACAGAGGGAGAAGATAGAAGGAAGCAAGGAAGAGAAGAGAAGTGAAGAGAATAAGAAGACAGTTGTAGACTAGAGTTCATTCTAGTATCTTAGTATCTAGTATGCTGGAATACTTGATTGATCGATTGCTTCAAATAACCTAATATACACTAGGAGTGTTATAAAACTAGTACTGAGAGTTAGGTGCTGTAGCATGAGCCTTAGAGACAACATTATTGAGGCTGGCTTACTCAGCTTGGGGAAGGCAGGAATTTTTAACTCAATCTACCTACCCAGAGGTTCTCTAGACTGAGAGTTCTAAACAGACCAGTCCTAAACTCTTGAGTTGATTGCAAATGCTCTAGGGGCTGCTCCAACTCTAGAGGCTCTAAAGATACTTTGGATGTGGGTAAATATTTATTTTAGCATCTAAGAGAAGGATGTTCCTTATGTACAGACCAGCTTTTGAACTGGGCTGCCCAGTTTGGAGAAAAAGAGGTGAAAGAGAATGGAATCAAAGTTCTGGTATCCTTTTACTGTATCCTGAAATGCTAATTTCTGTGGATTAAATTTGGGGAAAGAGCAATGCTCGATAAAGGAAACATATCTAATTTTCTCATCAATAAAAAATAAGAACATCACTCACCCAAGGCTTCTCACAAGCTTGGCAAATTCTAAAAGGCAGGTGTTTGAAGGGAGACGAAGTTGTCCTTCAGCCAGTGCCAGCTGGCAGTCTTCAAATGTGTAATCTGTTACGGAAACTCCCAAGGCCCTTTAAGAAAGAAGACTGGATACAGTAAATGTGATTTTCCTTTTGATAGCTTATATATCAGAACTCCAGGATCTTGACTCTGCACAGCTGCCTATCTCTCAACAGTTATGTACAAAAATTCAAAAGTAAAAGTAAATAGCTTACAAAATGGAAAAAGAAAAAGATGGAGAAATTTTAAAATAGAATAAATGATAAGTTCCTAGATAGGTCTTTTCTTATAGCTTGCTCAAATCTTTTATCTCACATTAAAAGAGCAGATCTTGCCATGGGCAGGATAAACACAAAGGAAACATGAATAAAATAAGGGTAAGTTTTAGAACTTACTAACTCAGGCATGGCACTGTGATAGGATACATACTAGATTTGTGATTTTATTGATGTAAGGAACTCCCAGGTGGGGAAACTCCCTCTACTAATTCAAGTCAGCACTTTTTCTGAAACTTATATTCTTAAAAAATTAGCTAGAGGACTGAGAAATCAAATGACTTGCCCAGGCTGACACAGTCAGAAGGTACTGGAGGTAAGACTTGAATCCAGGTTTTCCTGGCTTCAAGACTAACTCTCTCTCTATCCACCGTACTATGCTGCTTTGACAATGGGAAGAGTTACTAATAAACATTCAGAAATTTTAAAAATACAGATATTTCTTTTTCAAGTGTTTGTCTATTTAGAAGTTTTAAATTAATTTTTAAAATTAACAAGCATTAACTTCTCTCCATCTCAAATGTGCACAGTCAAGCAAAACAAATCGACAGATTGGCCATGCCCAAAACGTGTATCTCATTCTATATGGGAGGGGGGGCATCAATTAGGGAATAACTAAACAAATCATGGTATATGAATGTAATGGTATACTACTGTGCCAAAAGAAATGATGAAATGGATAGTTTCAGAGAAACCTGGGAAGACTTGTATGAACTGATGCAGAGTGAAGTGAATAGAACCAGAAGAACAATTTATATAACAACAACAACAACATTGTTAAAACAACTTTCAAAGACATAAGAACTCCCATCAACATCATGACCAACCATGATTCCAGAAATTGATGATAAAGAATGCTACCTACCTCCTTATAGAGAGGGGATAAACTCAATGCACAGATGTTTATAAAATACAAGTTAACACAGTTGTGCCTCTCTCTCCTTTCGAACTGAGTCATCTCTATATTACACAAGGTATCAATAATAAAATAGAAATCCTATTAACTGGAACTTTTATTGGGGTCATGGATTACATACACATCCTCATAAAAATGTCCCTAAAGGCCCATATTGTAGGATTATCTCATAGGTGAAACCACCTATAAGGAAGCTGTTTTGTTGCTTCTGCAGCTAGACTGCCTTCTATGGGGTGCAAATAAATGAATCTCATAATAAATTCCAACATTTATTGACAAAGTACTGAAAGAAATGTTCCAGTGTACTAACTACCCATAATTCAACACAAACCAAATATCCATAGTTACAAACAGAGCTTACTAGGTACAAAGACACAAATTTGTACAAAGGTACAAATCTTGGTGCATTTAGAAGGCAAATTTACTATAAACATCACAGGAAGTACATTTTACTAACAATGTGAAGTAAGGATGACAAGTTTAAAAATGAAAACAATTAAGTGTATGAGAAATTCTTCACTGGTACAATTATCTGATTCAACATCAAGGTTGATGTAACAACAATCAATGATGAATCTTAAGAAAAAACTGAAGGAGAAAAAGCAAGTATTAAAATAGCTAATGAAAAATGATTGATAATCAAAACATTATGAAGCATAGAATATCTGGAGATAAATAGTTCTTTGATTTAGCAAGCAGCTTTTGATAATCCAAGGACTATTTATCCAGCTGGAGGCCCCAAAGTCTCCTAGGACTTGTGGCCCCCTTTTCTTTCCCTGTTAATTTACCAGTTCATTAGAAATTCTACCAGAAGATAGGCAAAGGGAATTAAAAAGAAACTAGGTTTAAAATTAAACTAGTGGAATTTACTAAAAGTTATTTTTAAAAAATTGGTTGTTTTTTTTAGCTATATACCCATGTGTACTATATCTAGACTTCTGAAATCCTTTTTTCCTTTCAAGTCTGAGGAACTACTTCTTTCATGAAGTCTACTTCCTGAATTTTTTCAGATGAAACTTACCTCTTAGTCTTCAAAATTTTTTCTAGCTTCCCCCTGCTCCCTGGATCTTTCCTTATCCCTGATCACATTCTAATCTGTAGAATGCTTCTGGGGGTAGAGGTACATGCTATATCCCTGCTATTAGCTTCTTAAGAAAAAGGGCTGTTAGTATTTCTTTGCATTCCCTTAATAAATGTCTGTGGGTATGAATGGTAACCATAGCTGTTTCCAGATACTTACATAAACTCTCTTCAACAGGCCTAGATCTTTGAAATAGAGCCAAGAGTTCTGTCAGGAGCGTATATATCTTTATTGCATGTATTAGCCTTCTGAGATGGTTTTTGCTATTATACCTACAATACTTACTACACACTGACTACTTAAGCTATGCCAGCTTCTTCCAAATTGAATTTTTTTTTGTTCTGATCATTTTAAAGGGGCTGATGGACCACCTATCCCTTTAGCTATCCAGGGTAAATGAAACCATTGCCTCTTGAAGGCAGGTTTTTCCCAAGGTGTTTGGGTAGAGGAAGAAGGAAGCATACTATAGCATATAATAATCTAGTTAACCTACAGTAATATAAGAACTCTATATACCCACATAATTCAATTATTCCAGAAACTATTCCAATGATTCATTTGTTAAGGACTGGTATCAAATGACCATCTTTTCAAATGTTAGGATGAAGGGCAGTGATGGAAAAGTGAGAGATTAATCAGAATTACTCCATTGATTTGGAAGATTTCTTAGGAACATAAGCTTCTCCTGGGGAACATAGTTCTCAAATGAAAAGAAATAAGGCTAGAAAATAATAGTCAAGTTCTGGCAAGATGCTTAAACAGTTTAAATGACAAAGGGGTTAATAACCTTCTTGAAAAAGTATGAAGAAGAAAAAAACAGATGAAACAACCTCTCAGTGAAGAATACATGCAATGTGGCATATGTTTCTTTGGAACCACATATAAAAGCTGAAAATGAGTAGGAAGTTGTCTCTTTGTCAAGTTCTCGTGGTTAAGATTGATTTTATTCCAAAGAATGGCAAATTAACATACCTAGGCTGTCATGGTTACAAATTGAAAAATATTCAGGAGAGTTTAGATTTATGGCATGTACACTTACAGGTGTCTATACTGAATCCCTAAAAAATTTTTTTTGGGAGGAGGAAGAAGAAATATTTCTGTCTCACAAATTTGAACACCTACACTGATATTGTGACAGGCACATTATATTTTAAAATATGGGTGAACTTGAAGAGAAAATTTTGAATAAATGTTTATTGAATTGAATGACTACAAATGAGAGTGAAAACACTCCAAATTAACTCTGAAAGAATTTACAAGTCACCCAAATTCTGTTCTAGGCAGATGGTCTTGACACAATCAATGAACCTTAACAACAGATGATTCTGAATTTATTCTTTCTTTTCCCCCCAAGGAAACAAACAGTAAACTCAAAGAAATTATAACTGTTACTAAAGAGTCTTTATTTGCAAATCTACGGCACATTTAATCTATAGCTAATAACAATTCCTCTCCTCATTAACATTTTTTCCATCAAACTTAAAATAGTATCCATTATCAATTTTTTCCCTAATTACCACAAGTATTTATTTATCAAATGCCTATATCACATTACGTACTAAAGAGGTAAATGCCTCTGTCATTGAGGGCTTGCAATCTATTTAGGTAGACAAGACAGTTAAATAAAGTGTTATTAGTACTATCACCTCACATTTATACGGTGCCTTATAGTTTACAGTTTTCCTCACCATATTCTCTGAGATTGGGAAGGGAAATAGTATTATCCCCATTTTATAGATTAAGAAATTTAGGCTTAAAAGGAACTTGCCCAAAGAAGGGGAAGTAGGGCTGGTACTCAAACTCAGGTCTTCTGAAAGCACTAGCTCCTACGACATAGGTAGTGTATGCTACATGCCAACTAAGTCAAAAAGACTGCAAGTGCTGGAGAAGAAAGACTAAAGGGTGAAGGAAAGCTTCATGAAAGGGGTGAGATGAGCTGAGCTTTGAAGAATGAGTATCATAAAATTCTCAAAGAAGATAGCAAAGGAAGCTATTTTTCTTTGGGAGAATAATGTATATGTGATTTGGTTAAAGTTAAAGTTTAGTTGGAGTAGCACCGTGTGGGGTAGGGTCAAGAGAGATGGCTATAAAGATGGGTGGGGACCACATTGTGCAGTATGTTGAATGCCAAGCTAATCAAAAAACATTTATTAAGTGCCTACTATGTGCCAGGTACTATGCTAAATACTGGGGATACAAAGAGAGGAATAGAGTAGCTAAGAATCTGAGAATGCATCTTGTCAACAATGGGGACCAAATTTCATTTTGTGTAGGGCAATAACATGATTAAAATGATATTTTAGAAAGAAGACTACAGCACTGCATAGGATAGGTTGGAACAGTAAGGGTCTGGAGGTCAGAAAGAGATGATGAAAGGTCTGGAATATAATGGTAACAGAAGGAACTGAAAGGAAGGGGTAGGTAACAGAGAAATTTCATGAAGAAAGAAATTACATGATCCAATGAGTTAAATAAAGCAAATAGGAGCCATAAGTTAACCAACTTGCTTATTTACCATGAACCAGACTCAGTTCTTAATAAGGACCAAAAAGTTAGGGAGATTTCAAAGAATTATAGAAGTGATTAAGGGATTACAGATAACATTTTATGAGGAAAAGGTACTTATAGACACACAATGACAATGTTAAAACTGGAAGGGACTATGGGGACCGTTTAGTCTCTTCCTCTCAGTTTCCAGCTGAGGAAACAGAACCAGATTTGAAAGTAATGAGCCCAAGTTCATGCACAAAGTTAGCATAGATGGGACTAAAAACATCTGCTGGAGTCTAAGTATTAATTTCTGCTACACCATGTTGCTCTGTACATTGTCCAAGACATTTTATATGGTAAGCTCCTGAAGAATAAGGGCTGTGTTTATTAATTCTTTGCATGGTGCATAATTAAATCTAACTACTTACTGTGTGACAAGGCATATAAATAAAGGAAGTTGCAGCCTGGAGACTGAATAACCTGCCTAACATCATGCTGTGATGAAATTGCAATTGGAATGCCAGTCTCCTGATTCCTTAATCTAGTGCCTAGCGACCTAACCAAGCTACCTCCTTTTAAAGTATAAGGTAGAGAGCCAAGTTGGTGGGTAGACCTACACAGTTAAAGAATCATGATACTATGATATAATGTAAAGAGATAGATGACTGACCAAAGAGCAATTTTTAAGCTCCCTGCCTATGACTATGTACTCAGTAAGACCCACTTGACTCATGGAAGGAACAATTAATTCCAGCAAACCAGGAACTCTAACTTCTTAGTTCTAAATTCATGAACTGCTACAAGAGGAATTACAAACAAAACAGACGAAAATACATTTATTCAGAATTCAAAGATGTCTCCTTTCAAACTCTAAAGAACAATATAGTCATGTTAAGATACATAGAAAATCCTCTGGCATTTGAAGCCCTTAATAATCTGGCGCCTCCCTATACCTTACTCCCCTCCACATACTGTCAAGTACAGTAACTCTGGCCTCTTAGATGTTACTTGCCCAAGACACTCTATCTCCTAACTATGGAGATTTTCAATGATTGTTCTCCATGCCCAGAATTCTTTTCCTCCTCAGCTCCATCTTCTGACCTCCTTCAAGACTCAGCTAAAATTTCTATACTGATTCTATCCCAGTCCCTTTACTGCTAGTGGTTTCCCTCTGGGGATGACTAACAATCTGCCTTGTCTATCTCTTCTCTGGTTGTAGTAGTTCACGTGTTACCTCTTCCATTAATCTATGAGCTCCTTGGGGGAAGGAACTTTTTTTTGCCTTTTTTTAAATATCCAGTGCTTAGCAGAGTCACTGGCACATAGTAGGCACTTAAGAAATACTTGATGATTTGACAGAATTTGTCACATTTGACAGAATTTGAGCACATGTGAAACGGCTGTGTGTTCACATGTTATTAAATGAGGCTTAAAAAAAAAGAATGTGAGACTTTCCTCTTTTATATATTGTTATTAAGGGACCAGAGAACACAAGATAGTCAAATATAATTAACCATAGATATATCATTTGCACTGTGTTCTAGGGCGGTGGTGTCAAACAAATAGAAATGGGGGCACTACAGTGTACATAAGGATCCCTGCAGCTGTATATTGACTTAGAAAAACAAATATTATGATTATCAATGATTTATTGTATTCTCATTTTGTTAAATATTTCCCAATTACATTTTAATCTGGTTCTGGCAGAGGGCAACATATTTGATACCTCTGTTATAGGGGATATCTTTCTCTTATTTTTCATTTGTCTTGTGTTTGTGTTCCTTGTCTACCATGGCTCACAAAATATCACAATTTTTTTCTTTTGCCATTTTGTTTCTGCCTGCCCCATCAAACCTAATTGCTGGCTTTTTTTAGTCAACCAGTTACCTATGCATGAAATTCTATGAAGGAGATGATAACATTCTTAAGCATGCTTTCAAATCCTTCTCATTAAAATAGAGTGCTAGCTATGGAAATCTCTCTTTTTATGAAATTTTGGGGTATTATTGAACAATTCCATTGTTTCTTTTTAAAAATGTAACATTATGATCAATTAATATAAAAAAGACAATGAAAATAATTTCACTCAAAGGGCAAATGGGAGGACAAAAAGTATCTGAATTCACAATATCCTTTCCTTTATCCAGCTATACTGTACTTCCCTGATATTCATATCTCTTGATATTCTTTGATCTTCCTATAGGACAGAGAATCATTGAATTTATGAGATGAAAGAAATGCTGGAGTGTATATGAATCTACTCCCTTATTATGTAGATAAAGAGAATGAAATTTGGAAATGGGATTTGCCAAAGGTTTGCTGGTTAACAAGTGATAAAGATGGGACTAGAACCCAGGTTTTCTGACTTCTAATCTAGTGCTCTTTCTAATATGTTACTTTGCCTTTGCTATATTAAAGTTGCCTCACATATTATCTATTGACGGTAGTTGCTCTATAGATCTACTCTGTTAACAACAGATAATTAACTGTTTATTTATAAAAGCTCCCCTCTACCCTACACATTAAAAAAAAAGAAAGAAAGTGGTATTTATGTCATAGAATTTATTCAAAAAGATGAACTGGCCTGATTTCCCAAGTGGTTAATAAGTTACTTGAAGAAGTACCCCTACAGCTCAGCTAGCCAGTGCACATTCAGTAACATCTTCTACCTGTGCAATTAGCCTTTAATTCTGCATTATGATGAAGTAGTCTATCCAAGGCAGACTCTTCTGGCAGGGAAAGGGAGAAGGGAAAAGGAAAGAAGTACTAGAGGATGAAAGATAGACAAAGAAAAGAGAAGGAGAGTATTTGCCTTAACTATGCCCTTAATGCCTACTTTCTAGGAAATTTATAGACATACAGTGAGAATCATTTTCAAATTTTTAGTTCATGTATGTCACATGCCAACATAAATTACTTTAACTTAGTTTGTTTAAAAGACCTATAGAAATAGGGAATATATTAACTATAATGAGAATATGGAATTTATTTCAGAAAACCAGGACAATTTATCACTTAAGTAACAGTATCACTTAAGTAATCAGACTCTAAAAAGTCCACATCTCAACATAATGGGGCTAGATTTGACTTACACAACTTCTCATCTTCAAAACTATCCCACAATTTTAAAGCCACTCACTGTTTTAGGCGCTGCTTCTGCTAGTCTCTCCCGGTACTGCGATGGGCCTAATTCGGAGGCAGCCCTTCCTGACAGTAAATATGAGAAGAGAAGCAAGGAGAAAAAAGGAGAAGGAAAAGGGAGAGGATGGGACATGGAAGGACGAAAGATGGTTAGAGAGGGGAGAGGGAGTCTTGAACTGAACTCTACTCATTGACCATAACAACTGAAGAACTTAACGACAGCAGGGACTGGGAATATTTTCTAAATTTCTAACTGCATGCAGGCTGTAACCTTAATGTCACCAGTAACGTTACCAAAATGACCCCTGTAACACTATAAAAATATACATACAACTGTACAAAGCCGAGACAATTAATCTAGAAATATTAATGGCCTTTGAATAAATTGACAAACTAGTAAAAGCAAATTTTGATTTATGCATCCCACAATCCCAGACTTGAACTGGTGCTTAATGTTCTTGAAATGGCTCTTCCATCCTTCATAAAAAATGCAAATGATTTAATGTGGAAAACCTGAGTATGATTCTGACAACCAACCATGCTTTACATTTGGACACAAGATTCACTTGCTGTAATGCTGCAGACCAAGGGTATATTTATAGAAATGTAAAACTAAATTACTCATCATTCATCACTTCCTGGGAGCTTGATGTCACCATGTCAGACTGACATGCTAATCACATAAACTGTTAGTCCCACTGAAATCTATGCCCCATTCTCAGAAAGGCAATATGTTTTCTTTTTCTTTTTGTATTAAATCCATTTCCCCAAAGAGTTAGGCTAAGCTTTCATTTTCTACAGCAATGTTTACAGGGGCAAAATATAAGATAGACAAAAAATTCTGAAACCTCGTTTATGCTGATAAATACTGCCAATCTCTGTGGTTGTCATACAGAAATCACAGAAGTAATGAATGATGTTCCCAAGAATATATTTAGTTACTATAGATTAATCAATAGGATAATAAAAATAATGTATCTGACTGTCTCTACTGAATGGTGATTTTCCCATGTTGAATACCAAGGACGTAGTAGTAGAATGTACTTACTTTGCCATTATGCGTCTCACATTATTTGCATACAATGCTGGATTTTTCTTTTCTTCTTCTGAAGGTGTATATACTGGAAGAAACTAAATACAAAACAGTAAATTATAACTCTATCATAACTTGTTTCTTACCATACAAGAACAAAGCAATTCCATCCCTGGTAAGATTAACGTGGCTTGAAATCTAACAAAGTTACTGGAATTATGTAGAACCAAAGCCATCACTACCTTGAAACAAAGTAAAACTAAATTTATATGAAAAATGAACACAGGATTGCATTTTCCTCTCTAGCTAATGACATACTAAAATAGGGATGGGGTTTGTTTTGAATTTCAAAATAGGATTGGATCTATTTGAATATCATTCTCACGGTCTTTAAAGAAGTATTAAGTTTATATTTTGAAAACTAGCATCTAGGTTTTTGTTTCGGTGATGTCATTCCCTTTAAAAACACATAAAAGATTTAAATGGATTGGAATACATTTTTTCAAAGTTATTTGACATCTAGCCTATTTAGAAAGTTAGCACATATGAATGTTTCGTAAATATATTAAAAATAATATGTACTTTAAAACTATACATTTCTATAAATTGGCAGATATTGACTTATCAAACACTTCTAAAAAGTCAACCTTGCACTCATCTACATGGATATTCAGAAACAAGAGGAAAATGTCTTGAGCACCTAATCTTATTTCACCAATTCTATTAAACCTTAATCACTGAAATTTCTAAATTACTTCATCTACTTTTTGCAAAGGGGTCTTTATTTAGTAATATTTGATCAGTAGATTCTATTTTATCATTTCTAAGTAACACTTTCTAGGATAACGCATTAATTTTCTACAAAATCAACCCACTACAGGAAGTGGAAAATCTAAACCACATTTGTCTATTGAATAATAATAGCTCACACTTACAAAGCACTTTAAGGTTCTTAATTCTCTTTAGATTAATGGAATTTCTTTAAGGTCCACAAAGTATAAGCCTTAATTTTCTATGAATTTCTCACTTCTACATTAACAAAAAAAATTCAGAGTTCTGTGATAATTACTACAGTTAAATAAAATCAATGATGTTCTATTGTTAACATTATTAAATACATTGGAAGAAACCAACTTTACATAATCATCTCAGCCCACTGAAAAGGACAAACTATGCATGCATGCAGTTAAAAGCCAAGGTTCAAAAAGCATATGATAAACCATGATCACGGGGTTTATCAAATTCCTAAATTTAATAATTCCTAAATGTATTTAATTAAACACATTTCTTTATATTTCTTTGGACTGATTACCATCATATATTTTTGTCCAAAGTATAGGATAACTGAACCATAGAATTTTAAGGTGGAAAGGTATTTTAGGATAAGTCACAATGACTTCTTTTAAGGTATCTTTGAGCTTTAAATTCCGTGACTACCTAGTTTTCTGATTGAAGAGACTGGGGCTAAAGACATTAAATTACTGGCCCCAAATCCCACAATTAGTTAGGAGTAGAACCTGTAACTAGAGCCCAGGTCTCCTGACTTTTAGTCTAATGTTCTTTCAACTATACCAAACAGTCTCTTATCTCTTTCTTCCTATTATAACAAGGAACAAACCATTCCATTAAAATGACCGATTATTTCCTTTGTATAAAAAAATTTGCTGTATTTAAAGCCTGGAAATATCACTTAATAGTATCTACTTGTTAGACTTGGACTAATGTCATGATATAGCACCTTGTAATAAGTTTAACTAACATTCTACTGAAACAAAAGGCCACAATGAAAACATTATCATTTTCTATTTCTGCACTATACAGGCAAGATTAATTTGGATGGGATCAAACAGAATTTAGCTGCTGATAGCTAATTTTTGTTTTTCAGGCTTAGGATCTTGACTTTACCAAAAAATGTTGTTTATACTTAAAGGAATTCAGAGAGCTTCACGAGTCTGGCAAGTCATGAATTGGCCTATAACACTGATGGATTACTTTAATTGCCTAATTAAAAAAAGACCTAGCATATAAGCATCTTTGATGATCAGTAGCGTGCAATGGTGTTAGTATCAGTATCAATATTAAAAGTGGAACATTTTAAAGAATTGTAACTTACTGCACAAATGCCTACTTGTTATACACAAAATACTTATAGTCATATTGATTGTAAATTCAAAATTAAAAGAAGGATGAGTTTAGGGATGGGCTTCCTATTTGATTTTGGTGATAGGATTTTTAAAATCTTATCCAAATAATTTTAAATCCTGCAAGAGTCTGTCTTGAAGTATTTGTGAAGCCCCTTGAAAGAGCCTTGAAAAACATAGAGAATATTTACCATTTCTTTTCTACTAACCTCAATTTCCACAAAATTATGAAACTGACATAGGGTAAGCCATAAAATCTTCAGCCTTAAAAAAAAAAAGGACAGAAAGTGAACTTATTTTAAATTCAGTTTAAACATTGCAAATGCTGATGCCAGAATTTTAGGCCAAAACTTCCCTCTAGATGGCACTGTTGTGTGTTTTAATTTATATGATGAATTTTGAATTGTGCCTTCAGCCTAAGGTTCAGTTGTTAAAATCCAATTAGTTGACAAAAATCATGAAAAAATTTCTTTATCGAATTAAAGTAACCACTGTAGTATGAAAAGCATCCTGTTTTACTCCTTTAAAAATAATAATCATTGAATTAATACAGATGGTGATAATTATCTTCATTAAATAAATAGCACCTTCACTACAATTTTACTCAAATGTCTCATCATGACATAAAGGTGACCCTGGGCTATTGAAGGCTATGGTCGGAGAATGCAGATTATAGCAGGTCCCACACAAAATGAGAAAGGGTTCAGATACAGGCCTGGTGATATGATAATGACAGATTGTATGGATGCTTGTCTAAAGACCAGTCTGGATAAGTGTGGAGAAGCTAGTGATCATTAAGCTGGACACTAGGCAATTATACTAGTCAAGAAAACTCATGTAATCATCTGCTATACTGTGTGTGTGTGTGTGTGTGTGTGGATATGTTTATGCATACAATATGTACAGAAAAGTGCCTATCATGATGAAATTAGAGATCTTTTGAAGCACTGAATAAAATATACTAATCAAAATTAAAGAATGGTCAGTTATTCCTACTCCTCATTTGGGGTCCATTTAATTAAAATTCCCAAAGGTTGGAAGTGCAGAAACAACCCACAGTTTAAGGGTGTTCAACACTATTGTTATACTAAAAGTTGTTATCAAAGTCATTTATTCTTTACCTCTGCAAATAAATTTGCATGGCATGTCATAGTGCTTCAAAAAGTACCCATGATTAGGGGGCAGCTAGGTGGCACAGTAGATAGAGCACTGGCCCTGGAGTCAGGAGGAACTGAGTTCAAATACAGCCTCACACACTTGACACTTAGTACCTGTGTGACCCTGGGCAAGTTACATAATCCCACTGCCTAGCAAAAACAAAACAAAACAAAACAAAAAAGTACCCAAAATTTCCTTGGTACCTTTTTGACCTTTACATGACATATAACATAAAAGTATATACTAGTGACTAGATCAGTGATTTTCTTGGTATAGGGAATTTCCAGGTGAGGAAATTATCTACCAGTGAAGATTATTAGGTTCACAACCAGTGTGTCAGAGTCAGGACTTGAACTTAGGTCATCTTGGTTTTGAGGCCAGCTCTTTATCCGCAATACCATGCTTCTCTGTGAGGGAGGTGTGGTATAGTGGAAATAGAATGGGGTTGAGAATTGCCTGTCAGTGAGTTCTACTGGGCACAGACATTCACCCTCCTGGAATTCCAGGGCCAGGTATCTTTACTGTTTACCCTTCAATTGCATCACTCCTCTCTCTGGGAGCAACAACACAAAAGAAATAAAAGAAAATTCAGACTGACTTACGCTCCAGGTCCTTGCCATGTCCAGGTAATTGTATCCTAAAGATAAATTCAATTGAATAAAATTAATTGATTAAAACTTAGTGATTTCAACTCTATACACTTTGTTGTATACTGTGGTATGACTATTGTGTTCTAGGTAAACTCATTTTTATCTTTGATCTATCTTTCACTTCTTCCTTCTGTTTCCTTTTGTTAAATAAAAATTGCCTCTCCCATGGTTTTTCTTCACCTGCTCCCAATCCTGCTGTCTCAATCAGGGAGGGAAACGAAAGTCTTCAATATGTTTTCTAATGCTTCTTTTTCACAGCTCCCACCACCACATTCTATTTACAAATGGTGAGTTCATTTAAGGACCTTGACATTCATTCCTGTGATCCTCTTTATACTACTGCCAATGTCAACTCTTGGGGCAACCCTTTTCCCTAGACTGCTCCCATCCTATCACCAAACAGCCTTAAAAAAATCCAGCATCTGTACTGACCAAGTTATCTTGCCTCTACAGTCTTTCATCTTTATGCCACATCAGCTACACATCATTGGGAGCCCACACTTTGGACTTCATCATCATAGGCTTCAAAATTTCTAAGAGTTCTAATTCAGGGTTCCCTCATCTGACCACCAATTTATCTGCCATCTATATCACAAATATACTGTGCTCTAACTGGGATAACCTCTAACTGTTCACCTTCTCCCATTTCACCCATAATTAATTCTTTTTTGGCTTGAGTGGATTTAATTCTTACATCTGATTTCAAGGTCAATCACAGTCCTTTGTTCACCTAAAATTCTCTTATGATTTTCTTCTGAGCTAACCACACAAAAACCCAAATCTGAATCACTATTTAAATTTTTTTATTTCTGCTTAGTTGTTGAGTGGCAGTGAAAGATGTGTTGGACCAATACAGATCCATACTAATGATAGCTTTGCTCTCTCTGCTGCTTAACACACACACACATCTGCTCCATATAAAATATATGGAGGATTAAATTTTCTCAATGGGCATATAAGTTTATATCATCTAAAGTTTCATTTATTGAAAGATTGAAAGGGATTAGTCAGTGTTTGGAGCAAAAGGAGTTTTCATTAATATGTAACTTGTACATTACGAACAACAAAACCTATTATGCCTCTCGTGACTTCTTCTGGAAGGATGTGTTGAACTCAACCCATGGTACCCTAGAGAATTTCCTACAGCTTATTTACTACTGTTGTATAAACAAAAGCCAATGAAAATGCACCATGGATACATTAATACTCACTTCGACTCTAACCCTCAATTAATGGGCTCAATGTTTAATCCACAAATAAACAGAATTTACCAGTTTGTTTGGATATCGTAAAACTACAGGTTGAACAGGAACACCCGGAATAAAAGCACCTAGAATGAAAAATCATATATATTAATTAGGTTTACTGTATCAAGTAAGATGACCTAAAGTATTCTTTACTGATCCAACACAGTATTGCTGGATTTTACCACCTTAGTGTTGACTTGAAATTTCTTTCACCCACTTTCATAAATGGATTAAAAAGTGGAAAAATGGTTTCAGTAGATAATATACACAATATAGTCTAGATCCTTTACAAGTTTAAAACTTCACTTAGACTTTCAGGACATCCTGTATACAAACACAACCTGCTTTGGCAAAGAATTCAATATACAGTAGATATACCTTGGATCTTTCTAAGGGTGTTTATTAATGGATGTTCTAGACCACGGGTAGGGGAATCTGTGGCCTCAAGGCCTGGTCTAGTCTATGGCACTATGGCATGGACCTGAAGGGGGCAGATTATCACTGGCCATGTATTTTCACAAAAGTTACAAATAAAAATATATGACAGACAGAAATATCACCATATTTTTCACCCATGCCTGACCCCAAAATCATGCTGACAGGGTCTAATCATAACACAGCTGGACACCAAGGCATTTTTATTTTTAATAGGTCCAAAATTTTATAGATATTGGAACTCAGGGGTACTCTTTGGCACATTTACCATGTGGGATCTGGAATTAAGGGATGGTATTCCGCCTAAAGAATGGAGTCAAATATTTATGGCTGGGCAATTCCAATATAATTAAAAAATAATGCTATCTAAATTAATTTAGAGATTCAGTGAAATAAAAATCACTTCATAGAACTAGGAAAAATAACAAAATTAATTTGAAAGAATAAAAGGTTAAAAATCTCAAGAGAAATAATGAAGAAGAAATAGAAATACAATGGACAGAGTTTTACTCAATATCAAAACTAAAATAGAAATGGAATAGACTAGATAACCATAAAACAGAAGCAATCAAAATTAGTAGCTAAAAAATATAGTCAAGATGACTTCTTTAACAGAGGCGAAACAGCCCAGATTCCGCACATCTAGTTTAACAATATCCTGAAATTTCTACCAGACCAAATAATGATTCCTTAATTGTTTTTTCATTGTCACAGTGGAGAGTTGAATCTGAAGGGCAAGGAGAAATGCCTCCCTTCCCCCCAGATGCCTGCTATAAAAGTAATAAGCATCAATAAAACATTTTTTTTTAAAGAGAGAACAGATAAATGGTAGCTGTCTGGTACATAGTAGGCACTTAATAAATGTTTGTTGACTTGACCATATGACTATATTTTGAATTGGTCTTAACTTAGGCTTAGTTTGAAGAACATGATCTATAAATTTAATATAAAATTGGAACGCACTGGTATCCTACAATAAATAATTTCCTATACAATAGAATTGTATGTAAGATGGGTCTTCAACCTTACTTAAGGGAATCAGTTACCAACCAAAAGACTAAAAAGACTTCATTATAAGACAGTTCTCAGTATGATCCCAGGGCAGAATGACAAAGAAGTTGTAGCATATCTCACATTAAATATATCATTCCTTATCAGAGTTGTTTATAATGACCACCACCCACAATAGCAATTGGCCTGCTCCCAAAATTATCAAACCTGTCCAAGGATGCAGTTTCCTTGAGCTTTCATTGGTATTTAGGAAGAGTTCCACCTAGCATTTGCATTCTATGTAGTAATATTTATATAGCTCTTGGAGGATTAAAAAGCATTTTCTATATTATTATTTGAATATCTATCTATTTATCTTCTATCTATGAAAATAGTAGACAAGTCCTTTAGGCAGTAAACTCTTCCTTATCTATGAAAACCACCATCACAAACAATATATCTACATTTTGAAGCCCTAAAGAACACACTGTACATTCTTCCTGCTCTTTTCTCAGTTCAGACCATTAAGGAAGTCATGATACTCCTTTGGCAAGCACTCTTCGACCAAGTGCCAAGTTTGCAACATTAGTCTTCTTCAACTTTAGACTGAAGCCTTTTGTACAATGATCCTACTGCTTAAACCTCATAGGAACAGATTCATTATCAAAATGGATCCCTTGGACAACCCCAAATCAAAGCAGGAATGACACAAAGCAAACTGAAAACATCTTTGTAAACCAAACCAAAAATAATTCAAATTAAAGCTGAGCAAGTTTAAATATCACAGATAATGTGGTTGCTTTTTCCATATAGTAGAAATTCAGGTATCCAAAATAGTTTCACATAAAGTCTGAGTTGAGCCTGAGAGAAATAGGATTGCAAACAAAATGATTTTATAAATCCTTTACAACATGGACCTAACTACTGAGGTCATTAAATATGAAGTCACTCTGGCAGGTCCCTGTGACTACAATTTCCAAGTTGGATTTCAGGCAATTAAGAGTCTGATCTTTGAACTGATAGGAGAGGTAGAGAAGGAAAAAGAGAGGGAGGGAGACAGAAGGACAGACTTTTTGTGGATGTTGACTAAATTATTGCTTTTTAAACTGAAATAATCAACAAAACATTATAGAACAAATTTGTCTTTTTTACATATAAAACAGGAGTACACTGGTATCCTATTATAAATAATTTCCTGCACAACAGAATTCTTTGTAAGATGAGTCTTAAACATTATTCAAGGGAGTTTAGTTACTAACGGACTTCATTATAATATCATTCCTCAGTATGACCCCCAAGGACAGAATGACAAAGAAATTGCAGCACATTTCACATCTATACTTGTCAAGGTTGTTTATTATAACCACCACCCACAGTAGCAACTGGACTTCTCTCAAGACCATCAAACTTGTCCAAGGATGTAGTTTCTATAAGTTTTCATTGGTATTCAGGGGGTAGCTCTGCTTAGCATATGAATTCTGTTACCTCTCTCTTTCCTTCTCTGATTCACAGTCTCATACTCCTTCCCTAGGTATGGACAAGCAGCATGGTATGGGGAGAAGAATCATTAGTTCTGGTGTCAGAAAGACTGGATTCAAATACCACCTTTCACACTTACTAACTGTAGGACTTTGCTTAAATCACCTTACTTCTGTGGGCCAAAATGTCCTCATGTATAAAATGAGGGGGTTGGACTAAATGATTTCTGGGTTTCTTCCCAATTCTAGAACTATGATCCTATATTACTGAGCAGTACTCAGCCTTTTGACCCACCAGAACCTCCCCTGAAGGAACCTTATGTTACTTCAGGTTATTTTCAGAAAAAGATAGTCTTTTCTGAAGAGGAAAGACTGTCATATTTTTTTCTTCAGCAAATCTCTTCAGTTAGAACAGAAGTCTCAATGTTGGATAAGAGTGTAGGGTTTCTTCAGGTCTTGCCAACACCTTCTTATCTCAACATTCCTATTAACTCATTACAATGCTGTAGAAGAGATTTCTACAACTGTTAGGAGGCTGAGCTAGATGCCTTTTAAGGCTCCCTTTTATTCTATGATTCCACAAAATAGTTCTTATACTTCTAAAGGGTGGAGGGGTGGTGGATCCTAATCAGCTGCAAAGGGGTCTTTGCAAGTAGCATGATTAAAGAGAAGTATAGTTATAGAGAAACTTAGAAAGAGGTGATGTTCATATTTTAAAATGTTTCAAAGATGCAACCAACCAGCTAGCTCCCTTGGAGGGGGAAGCATGGAATAGTAGAATGAATTCAAGAATCAGAAGATATGTGGTTGAATTCCAACCCTGCCATAGATTAGCTGTGTAACTTTGAGCAAGTTACCTAAATCTTTATGAACTTCAGGTTCATGATTAATAAAGTGAATCCAATGGTTCTTTCACCAATTTCTTTATTAAACTGTTTTCAAGCTAAAATTGGCCAACTTTTATATTATTATAGTTTCTATATATGATTAATAAAGATAGTCTTATGTTCCCAGATTATTTGGCTAATGCGCAAGCAAAATCAGTAAAACAGATAATTAGCAAGTTTTTTTTTAAATCAGGATGCCCCTAAAACAATTTCAACAACAAAAAAAGAGACCTAAGAGAAAAGATTAAAATTAGCTATTGCTACTATAGCATGTATATAGATAGGGATATGGATAGATACTGGACCTGTAATTTCTTTGGTACAAGGAACTCTCAGGTGAGGAAACTCTGTCTATTGATGGAATAGATGAAATCATTTTTCCAGTGTCAAAAACCCTGTACAGTTATCCCTTCCTCCACAATATAGAAAATCTGCATAAAAATTTTTGATCCTCCCTTCATACCAGAGAAGTGTGATTTTTTTCTTTTTCTTTTATGGGATGTTTACAATACCTCATTGCAAAATTTGGGTTAAATATTCAGTCATAGGCTTTGTGTTGTCTACTGGCCTTTGTCTGTCAGCTACAGCTTTCATAAAACTCCCCCCAAATTCCCATTTAATTTCTTATGCTGATCTGTGATACATAGAAACCGTGATGGGGAAAGTCACAATGTGGAAGGGATAGCTGTATGTATCAGAAGTAGGAGTTAAACCTAGGTCTTCCTGGCTTTGAGGTCAGCTCTCTATTCATCACCAGGGGTGGGGAAGCCACATGTGACCCTTTAGGTCCTCAAGTGCAGCCCTTTGAGTCCAAGTTTTACAGAACAAATCCTTTTATTAAGGAGATTTGTTCTGTGAAGTTTGGTTTCAGTCAAAGGGTTGTACTTGAGGACCTAGAGGATCACATGTGGCCTCAAGGCCAAAGGTTCCCCACCCCTGCACTATACCATAGTACCCTCTATTTGCTTGCAATGCCCTTTAAACTAAAAGGTCAGTTTTAGAGATTGAAAGACAGCAGGGCATGTAACTGCAGTTTTAGATCAGTCAGATACTCGGGAAGCAGATATAATTCTCAGGACTTCAATTAGAGCACAGTTATTTGCAATGACTGGGTTTCCTAAGGACTAAATAAGAATAGTACTAAATAAGAATACTGAATTTCTATCATGTTCTTAGTTGTAGGAGTCCTCTTGGTAGGAGTGAAGGGGAGTGGAGGTCTTCACTGTTGATTTAACATTTTGTTATGAAGAAAATAAAGACATACATTGATTAAGAGGACAAAACATGTTAGTA